GGATGAAAAGGGTAACAGTTTTATTTGGAGCAAGGTAAGTTGGAAATAGCAGCATGCGTGTGGAGATGGCCAGCACACAGATATGTGAGTGAGAAGTTTAAGGAAGAACAGTGAACCAGCAGTAGAGATTTGGGAATGATCAGCTAGTTGAGTGGATGTGGTCCCCTCAGGAGAAGAAATTAGAATGAGAATAGTGAGTCCAGAAGAGACATTGGAGCTCCCCAGCATTGAAGAGGAAGGAGTTCCATAAACAGGAGGAGGAGCAACAATTGGAGAAAGCATCCTATCACAGAACCAAGGGAGTGTAAAGATTAAAAAGGGGACTGCGCAGAAGTTGGTGGCTTGATAGGTAGCCGGATGGTGAGCCTCTCTGAGAAAAACAACTCAAGACGCTAGAATTTAACACCATGGAGAAGACCAAATGAAAGGAGAGGGATTCTCACGACCAGGAGGAAACTGAGGAAAAAAAAAGAGAGAAGGAAGGAAAAACGTGGACAAAAGGCTGGAACCAAACGTTTTCTCAATGGAGCGGCCAAGTGCTGTGCTGGGCGTGCCTTGGAGTCAGACAACTCATGACCGCACTGAAGTCGAGGTTGCCCAAATAGGGACTTGGTGAGCCCAGGGCCCTTGGCGGGAGGATGTGGTGCAATGAAGAGTGGAACCAACTGGGAGAGCTGCACTAACCTGTGGTGAGTGCTAGGAATTGGGTCCCACAAAACAGGTGACCAGCTGGACGACATACTGGAGTTGGACAGGACGGGCCTGAACCTAGAACCGCAGTGGGATCAGTTGGCCACCTCTGGCCCGAAGAGGACTGGTGGGATCTGCTTGGCCTGAGTCACGCGCCTGGTTGGATCCAATAGCCAGGTATGAAACTGTCCGGAACCTGTGATATCCACACAGCACAAACTAATGTGCCAAAGGCACTCACCGGTTGACTGGCTCAGAGGCATCATCCCTGTGTGCAGCTTACTGATCAACAGGAAACTGGAGACGGCAGCAATCCCCTAGCCAGCACACTTCAGAAAATCCATAAGCAATATGGAAAGGGCCTGAGACGTCCACCATACACCTGTCTGAAGGAAACCAGAAGCATGACAAGAGAAAGAAATAAGAAAAAGCCTCCAGCTGCTGACTCAGGGAAAATAAGTCCAGGACTGATAAATACAGAAGAGACTGACGGAAGCAATCATGCAATATTGGACACAGCATCAGCGAACATAAAGAAATACTTCCATGACCTCATAGATGAACTTAAAAGTGAAATTCTATTTCAAGGGAAGCAAGATACAAAAAGATTAGTAGAAGAAATGCTAAGCACCTCTCAAGACACAGATGGAAGAATGGAAGAACCCAGAAAAAGCAGAGAAACCTTTGATGAAGAATATAAACAAAATCTAGAGTACATGAAACAGATCCAAAGCCATTACCAGGAAATTAAAAACTCCATTGAAAGCTGGCAACATTCCTTGACAGAAAGTTAAACTTTCAAAACTTGATGATAGATTTGCAATGTGTGATTATGAAAGAAAAGATCTCTTAAAAATAACAAGGAACCAGGAAGTAACAATACGAAGGCTAGAAGATGACAAGAGGATCTATAACTTAATAAAAAACTTAAAGAAGCAGAAGTAAACACAAATGAATTACAAAGGCTATTCACAGAAATAATTAAGGAAAAATTCCCAAGCATGGGAAAAGGAAATGATGTCCAGATAAATGAGGCATACAGAACTCCAGCAAGCTGCAGCCAAAACAGATCTACACTCAGACATATAATCAAGATCCCAGAAATCTATCGCAAGAACAGAATATTAAAAGCCATCAGAGAAAAGAAACAGCATCTATAAAGGAAAACCCATCAAAGTTACGACAGACCTCTCCACATAAACTATCAAATCAAGAAAAGCTTGAAGCGAAGTATTCCAAGTCCTAATAACCTCCAACCCAGATTGATGTACCATGCAAAACTGTCTCTCAAAATTAATGGAGAAACAAGATGTTTCCATGACAAAGAGGGACTGTGGGAGTTCGTGACTACCAATCCAACCCTACAAAAAATACTGAAGGACATTCTGGAGAGAGAGAAAAAAATCACCAAGATTTCAGCAACAGTGGCAGAGACCTCTATGAACAGGGGCAGACAGTGGAATGAAGGAGAAAAGTAGATAAAATAGCATAGCAGAGATGAGGCAGAGAAGACTGGCTATCATCCCGAACACAGATGGCCTTGATACACTAACAAAAAGAAACACAGGCAGAGTAGATCAGGAGATAGGGTCCATCGAGATGCTCTGAATAGGAAATATAATCTACCTGAAAGAGGATTAATGAACTGAAAAATCAAAGATGAGAAAACAATGCCCTATGTGACGGGAACCAGAGAGAAATAGGGACAGCTCATTCAGCAGCTGCAGATAGATTGGAAAGTCATGACACTTTTGTACAGTGGAGAACTATTCAGCTATGAGAAGGGAAAACCTTGAGGCTTTGGTAGGTAAAGGAATACAGCTCAAGATCAAGCTCAGGGGTGAAAAGGTTCAGCACCACTTGGGTAGATAATGGGTTGCCCCCCTAATCTAAAAACTGGGTGAGTTGGCGGGACCCAAAATGTACAAAGCACCCTGAGAAAGGGAAAGGGGAGGAACCGTCTAAAAAAGGAAGGCAGAGGACATTGTTAATAGTGTATCAGGATTTAAAAGCCACATTAGTCTTATCGCTGTTTAGTTTGATTTTATTCTGTTCCAGTCTACTCATACTAGATTTGAGGGCACAGAGAGCTATCCCAAAAATAGCAGGATATACTATGGTAACTATCCTTAATTTCATATTAACTTGACCTGAAGCCCTGTATTACTTACACTGTCTTACTATGACTGATCTTAGTTGAATCTGGTTTGTTAGATCGCTGTTTTGTCTTGACTGATTTTATTCGAATTTGGCATGCTTGATAACATCAAGTCTAAGAGTAGAGGCAACTACTCTGAAGACAAGATGCAGTAGGATACCCATTCTAGTTTGGTTATTAACTGCTTTTGAAGTCTTATAATATCTCCAGTGTTGTGTTTTTATTAATATTGCTATGTAGTGCTATGTTCAATTATATTATGCCTGTTGATATAGACAATTCTATTGAAATAACAATAGACATCATAGTAACCACAGTAGATCACCTAGACTGTAGTTTTCTATGTCTTTTTCGTTTCATGTTTTTCTAGAAATTTTTTTGTGTCTTGTTTTGATCTGTTTTCCTCTATAATGCAGAAAGGATAGGTATACATGTAGAGATTCACGCATGTGTAGAACTTCTAAACAGTTTATGAGAATAGATTATATAATGTACGATAGGATGAACAGATACTCTGAAGAAAAAGAGACACTAAGATACCCAGTGCTCATTCTGTAGCCTTATGATATAAAACTAGCAATACTATTTTTTTCTGTCCAGAGTGATATTAGCCTATTTTCTTTTGTTTAATTTCAATATATGTAAAAATATGGATGTCTATTTCGAACAGAATGAGAGATTATGGCAGCCATTGTTGACTTCCCTATTGTCTGGTCTTGAAGACCTAAAAAGCCTTCATCATCCTGTTGTGATCAGTTTAGTACTATAATGTTCAGTATGTATTCACTGTGTGTAAAGGTATGGACAACTATTTGGAAGAAAACAAGAGATAATATGATAGACAGTGAGGATCTCTGATGGTCTTGCTTCGAAGTCTGTGTTTCTTAAATTGTTTTCTTATGATCTGTTTTGTTCTGTTTAATTTTACCCTCTTTAAAATAAAATAAAGATACAAAAAAAAGAGGGGACTGCTAGTAACTAGAGGTGGCTGCTCAGATAATCAGATATACAGCACCTCAGTATCTTCACACTAGAAATGATTGAAGCAGAAAGAAGCCAAATTGGATTGAGAAGTAAATTGGAAGGTTAGAAAGTAAAGGCAGTGATTTTCTACCATTTTAAGGAAAGTTTGAATCTGACTGAAGAGGTTTGAATTCTAGCTCGAATGCTTACAGGTTTTAAAACCTTGGACAAGTTCATCTGTTTTCTTCATCTTTTTAAAGGAGGATCAAAATACCTACTTTAGTAGGGTTTCTGTGAGAATAAGAGAGTTCATATATGGAAGGCCTTTTTTGGAAAATACCTTTATATGCTATAACACATAACGAATGTTAATTGTTATGATTATTAAGGAAAGAAAGATTGATAGCTAAAGGATCGGGAATTGACTTATAGCTTGGATTTTTGATTTTGTGGATGAAAGAGGAAGAGAGAGGTTCTGTCTTTCTATTAATAACTGAGGGTAAGTAACTGGTTTAATCATTAGATTTTAGCCTCTATAATTGACCAGGCCAAGAACAAAAACTGGTTTAGAATGAATAAGTCTTTTAATCTTTGTTTGCAGTTAACTCTTTGGGACACTGTGGCCATTGACTTTCCTATAGGAAAGAAAAAAAGAATTCCTATTTACCATTCGGCTAGGGATTGTACCTAGGGCCTCACAAATGATGCTATGCAAGCTTTCTACTGCTGAGTTGAACCATTTAAAGAACCATTTTTGTAAAGAAGAATTTAGCAGATAAATTTGTAAAGCAAAGCTAGCTAATAAAATTCTTGGCAGCAATAAGAATTATTTAGATCCTTTTTTGTTGTCAAATGTTTTAGTTTTCTACTACCAACATTTCTGGAAAAGAAATCGTCCCTCATTTGAGGAGGTGTTATTTTGTGGATCACTGTTTGATGGAGGTGTTATTTTGTGGATCACTGTTTGTGCATGGACCAGTAACAGTTTGATCAACTTTAGACCTGACCTAAGCAAATGTTTCTTAACTGTCTTTCCTAGTTTTTCCCTGAAAATATGTGTACTGTAAACCTATCCAGAAAAAGTGGCTTTGTATGTGTGTTTATATACTTACATGTTGATAACTGTAGGCATGATGAGTCTTCTCTGTAAATCTTTGTAACATGCAGTGTTCTCCTTTCTCTGTTGAAGCGCTCTCCATCCTGTACTCCAGCTAGCAAAGGCAGACGTGTAAGAGACTATTGCACTATGTGTATTCATCCTGATGCCCTCTGCCTCTTAGTCTTTGCCTGTGGTTGCAGAACATGTGAACGTTTGTGTGATGTATTATTATCCTGGCTGCATGCTTTGTGCTGCTACTTCTGCTATTGCTAATCTGCTTTCCTGTATTTTTTGCCTTTTTGCTTTTTTTTAATTTCAGTGTTGGCTGCAAAGCTTTAGGAATGTTCATGTAAATTTCTGTAGCCAAACTACTAAAATAATAAGATACATTTTTTTATTTTGATTGGAGACAGAAAAGTGATTCTAAAGTATGCTTTCTAATTAAATATAAATAAATAAGTTTATAAATAAGAATATAATACAAGCAAAATATGTAGATTTTTACTATTTTAGAAAGAAAACTAGATAATTTGTATTGTACAAAATTCAGAAAAGATATGGAACAAATTTTGTTTATTGAGTATGATTTTATGTAAAAAAAGTTTTCAAGGAATCTTGAATTTTCTTCATTTGTTTTAAATATGATTTAAAGGAATCCTCTTAAATATCTTGTAGGTATAGACTTGGGAAAATCATGTTAATAATAAATTTATTTATTCTAAAGTGTTCCAATGTTTTCAAAAATCCATCAGTTCTTCATATATGTATTGTTAGCAAACTGTAAAATACTTCCTACTAATGCTAGATCTATGTTTCTCAATTTGAAATGGTTCAGTCACTGCCTCATCCTACAAGATTTTCATAGTCCAGAGTGAGGAATCCCCCATGTGGAAATGTCTCGAAGTTTTGTACATCAGCCTCCATCCTAAAAGCAGCTACACACACTTATATACTCCCCAGCATAGAAGCAGTAGGCTTCCTGGTACCCATATTTTCATATACTACTTAAAATAGTCACTGTGGAAAGTCATTGTGATAAATAGAAGTTTTTGACTTTTACCTGTCAGCTTTATGATCATCAGGATTGATCAACACCTTAAATCCAGAGTTCTTTGATATAGAAAGTTCTAGATCAGGTAATGATCTGGTTTGTGAAAGATGTTGGCTCATTGAGTCCTGTGCTTTTTCTGATGTGACGGAGGTTTAGTTGTCAAAGATACATAGTACTTGTGTCACATCTTCAGACTACGGTTTAATAATGAATAAGCAGTTCAGTTATCACTGTTATGTCCAGGAAAATTATGAGATCAGTTGCTATTATTGAGATCTATGATTGCTGACTCAACTGATTTCTTTTTTTCTTTTTTGGGGGGGAGGGTACCAGAGATCGAACTCACAACTGTGCTCTTAGAAAGCAGGCACTTATGACGCTAAGCTAAACCCCCAGCCCTCAACTGATTTCTTGATTGTTTGAATTTGTAGAGTTAAAACCATCATATATTTTATCAAATCCAAGTTTATGTTAACTATTTCATATAATAGGGGGAGACCAAATATTATATATGGGAAGACCAAAATATTATGTTTCCAGTTATACTAGATTCAAATCATAAGCCTGTGAATTGAATTAATTTATAACTGTTTTTGAAGAGATTGTAATTCAGAAAGGTTGTTTTCTGGTTAACTTTATTATGGATTAAGGACACCTCACATACCAGGCAGACTTTGGGCATTGGCCATCTAGAACATATCTATGAATTATGAAAGGAAGAAAATTGGGGGAATGGCTATTGTAAGGTTTCTACTTTTAATTCTTTCTCTTTCATTTGTAGGACATGAAAAAGCAAAAATTAGCTAAAATCTGTGTACTTAATATTATGTACGATTCTTTTTTCATCCAGAGATAGTAAGCTTGGTTATCTGCTTTCCTAGCTTGTTTCAGTTTTTCCTGGATTATGTATCAGACAAATAAAAAAATCAACCAATAAAAAGTAGTAAAATGTGTGAAAGAGATAGTTGAAGAATTATGAATTTTTCAGTAATTCAGTAGAAAATATCTTGGTGACATAGTGAGGTATATTAGTAGTCCCTGGGACATGAGTATATTACTCCATTAGGATGCAAATAGTTACCATTCTCAGCAGTGGCCTTGAATCGAAAAATGGAGTGTCATTTCATGTTATGTACCATGTTTTAAAGTAAATAAATATTCAGTACTTAGGTAAATTTAAGTTCTTTCACTATGAAACATCATAGAAAGGATGAAATATTACTAAATAGTGTTTGCCATATTCTGACTTTTACTATTTCACTTCATTTATAGTTTGAATACTTATGTTCTTTATAAGTGGTGGTATTTAATTATTAGTACAAGAAAGACTTGTTAGAGATAGTATTTTAAATGTCTGAATAAAAATGGATAGAGTTCTGTTGTGCTTCTGTTAATAGTGAAAAACATTAGATATCTCATTTTAGATTGTACCTTTTGACTTTGGAGCAGAGATTATAAAAAGCCAATGTGTGGGTTAACCTTCTGTTATGTTTTCTTAAAACAGTTTTAATTCTCTAGAGTAGATATTCAGATATACACATATTGAAATAACTTCAGAAATTTCTTAGAGATCCAAATTATATTATTTGTAACCAAGAATACATTTCTAGTCATAACCTTCAGTAATTTGGTGTTATATTTTAGGAAAATATATTTACTATTTGCAAATGATACAATATTTTATAATACTGCTTTTGTCCTAAATTCAGTTAACAGAAATTATTTTACTAAATGTTTTAAGATTAAGTGTTCTTAGTACAAAATTATTAAATTGTCCTCTGCTTCCAAAATAGTTCTAAGTGAATGACACAGGAAAAAAAATTGATTAAAAATTTTTTTCTGAACTTGAGTTTTATGCAGTATTTACCAATACAAACAACAGATATAAAGTGTTTTTTTTACCATACTGACCATTTATAATCTGTCTCAAGTTTCAAGAGCTTTCATTTTAAAACAAAGTTTCTTTTTAAAGTGTAACTATTTGTACAGATCTGCATTTTAGAGCATAGAGAAGGCTTCTTGATACTATATAGTCAAGATAAATAGATTTGGTTCTTTTTATAATTTGAGAAATTCTTAGTAGGTATGTCACCTAAGAATCATACAAGTGCCTAATAGTGCCCAGAAAAAAAAAAGTTTTCGATTCTATTTTACTACAGTAGGTTCCTGACTTACGAACAATTTCATTCTGGGAAAATTGTTAAAAGATGGATTCATTCATAATTTGACGAAGTGAGTCTTATACACAACTCCATGTGTTTAAGTTGGGGATTTAACTGTATTCTAGAAATACATGATGCAGATCTTTTACAAGAAAAAATCCTGTTAGATTAAGGGAATATTAAGGGAGTTTTTATATAACATTATGCATTGTAGGCAATATCACAAATATTCAGCTTTCTACTTTTTTTGTATAATAGAACATTGAGTAAAAACAATGCTAGATACAGTAGTTGTGCCCAATACTTATTCATCAAAAAACTCATTAAATATGTTTACTTAGGAAAAATTAATTGCTTAAAATTGGAAAAGGGAGCCTTTTTCTCAGTAGTTTGCAACTTACAAATATTGAGTGAACTGGTGCACTCTTAAGATTTGTTTCTAATGTCTTTCTTTGGACAGTATTAAAATGTACTATCCAGTAAATATTAGCTGTTTATTGTTTTTTGCTATTTTTCCTTTTTATTCTTTTTATAAACACAAATCCCATTATTAAATTAACACCTGCTTTTGATATATAGTAACTTGCTACATTATTAACTCAATTGCTTATACTCACTGCTGTGTTTTTCATGCATAAAGGATTTTTTAATTTCCATGGTTTAAATATAATAATGAATATATTTGTTTCTAAGATTTTAAAATCATTGTATAAAAATAACTACTGGTATTTATTAGCTATTTTGCTGCTATACTATATCTGAATCATTACCAGTTAATTATTAAAAGTAATTTCAAACTGTCTTCAATTTTAGTATGTAATAATTGAATATTCTGAAAATTTAATTGAATTAATTACTTCTTAATGGTTAGAGTAAAGCCATTGATTACAAATGCCTGGTAAGCATTTATAGTTAAAATTAGTAGCCTCTTGAATACCATAGTTCTGTTTGTGATAAAACTTTGATGAATCTGTAAAACTATTTTTCTTATTTCTGTAGTTAAACCACAGTTGAGATATTTATTTATGTTGGCAATAATCCAGGAAGTAAATTAAATATTAAAATTTATTGTCATTAGTTGTTTACTTCTAGTACTCTTGTAGAAGACTTTGACTTTTTTTAAAAGTTTGATAGTCAAACTTTTTCTTGCTATGAGTTTAATCATCTCTATCAAGTATCCTTTGTTTATGAGAAACACAAAAAAAGTGAAAGTAAAGTGATAATTTTTCAAGTATATATGCATTGTGGGTTTTTTAAAAATCATTGTAAGTGGCATAGTTCAACTTTTTAATATGCTAAATTAATGTCACCTTCAAAACACTCTAATATATTTGCTTTTAATTTTTTAAAAGAAAATGAACTTGATTTTGTTTAATCTGAAATTTTTATGTTAAGACCATAATGCTTTATAAAAGATCATAATTTTCATTATTTCATTAGAATTATTATCTGCTTATAATTTTAAATAATTCCTACTTGTGAATATGATCAGGTTTTACCTCAACCAGCTAAGAAAATTATTTTTAGAATCTGTCCTCATTTGTATTGTTTTCTTTCACTTTTATTGAAGAGTAAAATCTAGTTAGAAGGAAAAGACCTAACAAATGACAGCAGTTCAGAAGAGCTGAAGACCCATAATAAAAGCCTTCAGAATCAGTAATTGTGTAATCACAGATTAAATGGATGGTAAATTTTTCTTTCCCTAACATCCTGCTGTCATCATGTCATATTTTCAGAGGATCTCATGCTGGTAAATGTTTTAACTGCCCACTTTGGATTGGGTATAGAGGTGAAGGACCCTGTAAGGGATGCTGGTGTGGTGTTACAGACATGCTAACAAATGACTTAAAGCAGCATATGCTAAATTTAACATGAGACATTCTAAACCAGTATGCTCAACTGCTGTCCATACGTCATCACATGGTGCAAGGAGTAAGCCTCTGTCAGACTTCAACAAGTTCTTGCCTTATCAGGTTGTTTGCATTAAAGTTAGTGTTTTTGGATAATGACACATCCCTAATGTGAATATTCAAACTGAAGTTTGTTAGCCTTGTTTCTCAAGAAATATTGTCATGATTCTGCCTTACAGACATTTGCTAAGAGCTGCAAATTGTTTAAAGTGATTTCTTGGGTTTTTTTCTTCCTGACTTATTTTCCTAGACTGATCCTGTTGAGGACACTTATGTACGGAACCCGAGCATCAAGTTTTACAACCAGTCAAGGTCCACATCTCCTTCCACATCTAGTGAAGCTGAGCCAGTTAAGGTGCCTCATTGGAACAGCCTTGCTCCCCAACTTTGCACTTGTGTCAGGAAAGAGGGAATTGAAAAAAAGGCAACTCTATCTAATCAAATACATTGTGTCATAAATTATAATTTATAGGAGATCATTGCATTTAACTGATAATGTATACAGGAGTGGAAAATAAAATATCAAAATTGCTCCCAAATATTCACCTGAAATAGGCAAAAAATTGTATTGACTATATTGTCTTTTTACTTAGAGAATTATGTAGAACAGATGAGAGATTTTTGTAAATACTGGAATTACCATAAACTCTGTAAGCATATGATCATGAGGTGCCATTCTCATGTTTTAATTATTCTAATTGAATAAACCATAATATAACTTACTGTTAAATCATAAGCACAATTTAAAACTAAAACTGTCCCTACTGGCTATTTATTCTCACTGCTGAATCAGCCATAGGCATTCGGTCACCTAAATCAAATCTTTTAATAGTACCCAAAAATCTATGTTGTGTTTACATTTCACGTTAATCAATACTTTAAACAGCCACTTGGCCAGTTCCAGCAGCAGCGCCAGCTCCTGCGCAGGTCAGAAGAGCGAGCTTTGCCCCGGCTTATCCATCCTGCCTCACAGTGAAGTCCTGCTTCTTCATGGAGCATCACACTCTTCAGGCACTGCTCCTTGGCTTCTCTGCCCGTGATCTCCAAAGCTGAGTCTAACTTCCCACACAAGTGAGCAAACACCCAGTCTATGGAGCTCTCTGCAGAGAAGTGCGAGCTGTAGATGGGTTCTGACTTGTGTCCCTGTGATAGGAGCCCTCTAAGTTAATGAGACCCTCTGATTTTCTAGTTACATTGTTTTAGTATTCGGAGTTAATGCTGTTTTATTACCTTAATGATAAAATATCTCAATTATACCCTTGTAACAGATTTAACAAATACATTTTGCCCAATTTTTTTCAAAAAACAAAATATTCTGGAAACAGTTTAAACATCTTTCCCTGTACCATTCCCCTCTCTTCTTTCTCAGACATATTCAAGTATAGCTGGTGTAATTCTGCCTTCCTTGGCTTTACATGTTTATTTGTATTATCAATATGTGGTAATGTTTGTCATGTATTTAAAATTTATACAAATGTCACCTGTATTCTTCTGCAGCTTCTTTTCATTTTAAGTGTGCTTTTGAGATTTATTTATATAGACACATGTCCATCTAGTTCATTAATTATACCTGCTGCATTATATTTTATTGAATGAACATGCCACAATCATTTATCTATTCCTCTATTGTGGGCTATTTAGGTTGCTTCCAATTTTTATTACTACAATCATTGTTGAAGTGAACATCCTAGTATCTGTCTGCTTTGGAAAATGTGCAATTTGTTTAGCATATACAAATGGGATTATTGGGTTGTATGCTATGTGAATTTTCAACTTTGACTAGATGTTGACAAATTGTTTTCCACAGTGGATGAATCTATTTTAACTCCCACCAGCAGTGTCAGAGTTCCCCATTTCTCCATATTCTTCTGTACACTTGGTACTGTCAGACATTAACTTTTGCCAATTTGATGAGTGGCATTTTTTTTAAAAGTTAAGTTGTACTTTTTCTATTGCGAAATGTTTAGCATCTTTTTGCTTTGGCTGTTGATGATTTGCTTGTTCATATCTTTTGCCCATTATTCTATTGAATTATTTTTCTTGGTTTTTTCCAGTTGTCTTGTGAAGTGTTCTATATATATTTTGAATACCAATTCTTTATCACATATATGGATTGCAAATATTTTCTCCCAGTCCATGGCTTAATTTTTAACTTCATCTGTGGTATCTGTTTGTCTTGTAAATCTTTTCTTTTTTAAGTAGTCAATTTTATCAATTATTTCCTTTATGACTTCTGCTTTTTTATGTCTTTTTAAAGCAAATCTTTCTTATGCAGAGATTATAAAGATTTTCTTCTAAAAGTTTTAACTTTTTGCTCATATATGTTTAGGACCTTACTCAAACTGAAATTTATTGTTATGAATAATGGAAAATGAGAGTCTAATCTCTTTTTGCCACATAAGTACTGACTCTCCTTTTTTTCCCCTCCTTTGATTTGTATGCTTTTTAGGCCTGGTTCTGGTGGGATTCCCTGTTCTCTTCCTCTGTTCCTTGGATTATTTCTGTACTGATATAGTTTCTTAGTTAGTGTAACCCTAAAATAATTCTTGACATGTGGCATGGTGATCCCTCTCCCTCTGCCTAACTTACTCTTTTTCTTCCTGACTCTTTAGTTTTCCATATTACTTTTAGGATTAGTTTGCTAGGTTCCATGTGGGGCTTTTGATTGGAATTACATAAATTTTAGATTTATTGGAGGATAATCAACATCTTCATGATATTTCCATCTATGAACAAACATGGTATGCATAGTAGCTAGCTGTCTTTTACATCTTTTAATAAAATTCCCTTACTTTGAGTATACTCCATACTATGTATTAGATTTGTTCCTAGATAACTTAAATTTTTTGTTGCTGTGATATGTGAGATTCTTTTGAAATACTTTTTTTATTATGCTTTGCTGGTCTTTATAAACTCTGTTGGTCTTATAGCCTGCACCTTTGCTTGATTCTGAATTTTAATAATTTCTCTGGAACTTTCTATAAAATACTAATGATGGTGTTGTTCCCCATTAATTGTTTTTCATTAATATTTATGTAGATTGTCAGTGTTTTTATTGAATTTCCTTACTTCTCAATGTTAAGTTTATAGGTGGATTCAAAATTTTTCAAATTGTTTAAAAGTAAATAAAATTTAAACTAGAACTAAAATTACAGTTCAAAGAAACCTGGGAAACTCAACTAAATGCCATCTTAACACTATAATAAACGTTAAGTAGTCTATTTTAGAGGCTATGTAGGAACAGGCAAAGAGGAACCATCTGTTATCTTCTAATATTTTTTATTATTCTGTACCTTTATGCAAGGATTAGCTGAGTGTTTTTTAATAATTATTTGCTTAACATCCTAAAAGTAAGTTCTTCATGTCTTTGTGTTTTACTAATTAAACAATGTCCAGTAAAATCACCAATTCTTTTCATTCAAAGATATATCTTATCCCATAAAATAAAACTCTTTAACCTACTAATAAAGAGAGGGTTTGTAGCTAAATTTGTATCAAATTCAGAATTCCAATAAGGTTAAATAATTTAACTCCTTTGTTTGGAAAATTAATTTTTTCACAAAATTTACACTAATTTCTATCTGTGTATTTAGAACCAGAGTTACATTTGTTATAGATGTCTTCTAAATATGGAGTCAAATATTTAAAAATAATCTTCTAAATGTTTTTGTTATAACTCTTATTAAAACAGATACTTTTAAAAAGATAAATACGGCAAATTCAAATAAATATGAAAATAGCCTCATTTTAATGTAGGCTATCAGCTATAACAGCTTTGTTTTCCTGTGGATTTTCTTTTTCAAATTGTTTATTTTTAAATTTACGGATTGAAATAAAATTTACTAATAGGGCAAGTATTTCATTTGCAGATATTGCAGGCTGAAAATTAAGTTATCAATACCATGAGAGCTTTAATTTGAGATAGAACTTTTTGCCTTATTGACACTGTTTTTATTTACTTTGGTTTCTCTAATTATGTTTGAAATAAATGGAGTTTTTCATGGCGTTTATCTCCTTTTTGCTTCCCGGTTCAGACTGCAGACAGTGCTCCACTTCCAGTTCACACGCCAACCTTAAGGAAAAAGGGCGGCCCTGGTTCAACTGGCTTTCCACCTAAGGTATTCCATCTATTCCAAGCACAGTGTGACACCTCAAAACATGAAAATAGATTTCTTCTGCTTTGTGTAATACCCGTGATTGTGATACTGATTTCTTCAAAGTTAAGAAAAAAAAAAAAAAGACCTTGGAAAGAAAATAAATTCTCTTTGAGTAGAAATAAGCGTCGCTGATAAAGGAAGAAGAGTGTATGTTTCTTTTTCTTTTTATCTTAAATTCAGTGTTTCGAAGTCTGTCAAAGTGTAAGGAGTGATGTTTCCTTTGGGTCCTCCTTCTGGCTATTGTCTGAGAAAGGCATTAAATTGAGGCCATTCCTACAGTAATTCATTCCATTCAAAATGCTAGAATAAGCACAATAAATATGCTAAAGAGATAAAATAATGTGAGGGAAGATAAAGTAGTTGTAAGACAAAATACACTGGAAATACATGACATGAAAGAAGATTACTAGCCGAAAGAGAAAAATCTGGATAGATGGCTTTAAAAGAATAGATGCAATAGAAAAACAATTTAGTGATATGTAAGATAAGATAAAAATATGAAAGTTAAGATATATGTGATGTAAATAGTGCCAACATCAATATAGTATCTTTGAAAAAGAAAAAAAAATGGAGATGGAACTAATTAAAGAAATAATAACTTAAAATTTCCCCAAATCACAGATGAAAAGTCTACTGAAAGACATCATTAGATTCTAATAAGTATAGATAGGAAAAACTTATACCTCGATACATTTTAATAAAATTTAAGAGTATTACAAGTCAAGAAAAATTTCTAAAAACTTTCAAAAGAGCAAATTGTTTGTGTAAAAGAATAAAAGTTCTTTAGCTCAGTGGCATAAGTACTTGCCTGGCAAGCTTGAGGTCGTGAGTTTGATCCCCGGTACAAAAAACAAAAAAGAATAAAAGTTAAGTTTGTATGGCTTCTCAACTGTTATGCTATATACAAAAAAGTAATTTAACATGTTCAAATATTGAAAAATTTGAATCTAAAAATATGAATCGAGCTATACTATCATTGAAATATGAGAGCAAGTTAAAAATATTTTTGGGTATGCAAAATTTAGAAGATTTAGTATACAAAACTCATCTGTGGCACAGTGCCTGCCTGGCACGCACGGGGTCATGAGTTCAATTCCCGGTACCAAAAAATAAATAGATAAAAATAATCTTGAATTTATTGATAAGAGAATAGCATGAGGGTATCGTAAAGGGTTTGGGAAACAAGGTGAATGGGTATTTTAAAGGACTTTACTGTGGTCTACAACAGCCAAAGAATCATAAATATATTTTCAAAACAAATCTAAATAAAACACAGTAGGAAGTGAGTGTAAGGGTCTGGTGAGGTGAGTATGTCTGGAGAGAAAACAGAGACAGTATAACTTGGTGATTAACACAGTAAATTTCTGCCAAGAAAAAATGAAAGTTAAGATATATATGACCTAAGTAAGTGTCAACATCTATACTAAATTACAGTCTCATACTAGCTCTGTGAGCTTGGCCATGCTACTTATCTTTTTCTGTTTGCATTTCTTCATCAAAAAGTGATGATTGGGGCTGGGGATTTAGCTCAGCGGCAGAAGCGCCTGCCTTGCAAGCAGGCAGTTGTGAGTTCGATACCTGGTACCGATAAAAAAAAAAAAAGTGTCTGCCTTGCAAGCATGTGGTCGTGAGTTCAACCCCTGGTACTGAAAAAAAAATAAATAAATAAATAAATACTAAAAAAAAAGTGATGATTGGGGGCTGGGGATTTAGCTCAGCGGCATAAGCACCTGCCTTGCAAGCAGGCGGTCGTGAGTTCGATCCAGGGTACCGATAAAAATGAAAAAAACAAAAAAAAAAGTGATGATAATGACAGTATCTTTTATCAGATAGTTTTAAGTTTTAGACAAGCTTAGTATTTGTAAAGAATTTAGAGCACTGTCTAGCACTATAAGTATTAAATATGTTTAAATAAATGTTGATAACTCAAATTATTAAGTGTACATCTTAAATTGAAGGGAATAAATAGATTAGCAAATAAAAAGTACTGTAACTTTCAAACCAAAAGAAGGAAATGTTTATTGAAAGAAGACAGGAAAGTAAAAAGAGAATAAAGGAAAACATAGTGACCTAGTACTCTTACTGTGTAATAAATTGTCTCAAATGATAGTGGATTTGAGCAACTCTTTTAATACTCACAATCTACTAAATTATGGATTTTGGGAGGGTTAACTTTAGAAGTGCTCTTACGGGCATCTAGATAGCTGTGGATAGATGTCAGCAGAGCTTGCTGCCATCTGACGGTTCTTCTGCATGTACCGTTCTGTGCCAGGCAGTTGATGCTGCTGTTTGATAGCTACCTATGATCTCTGCAGCACAGCAGTTTCTCCTAAAATAAACACACTCCAAAGAATCATATAGGGGCTGATTGCTGATGACTTACAGCAAAGTTTCATGGATAGGTAAAACATGAAGGGAAGTCAATATCTTAGATCACCAAAAGGAGTGAAGGTGTAAAACATTAAAACTGCGAGCCACACATGGTAGCACATGCATTAAACCCAGCACTGGGAAATCTGAGGCCAAAGGATCACTGAAAATTCAAGGCCAGCCTGAATTACACTGTAAGACCTTATCTAAAAAATAAATAAAATGCAATGTACAAAAGGACACATTGTATAAAGGGAGTAATAGATAAAAAAGATGTAATGATCGTGAGTGTAAATTGACCTAACGATTAAAGCTGTGTAAAATAAGAACTGAGATTACTAAAGAAAGAAGCAAATTACATGGAGATTTAAAAAATGTAGTATAACTTGTCAGACAAATGGAGAGAAATACAATGCAAAGGGCAGAGGATTAATATCTACATACATCAAGAGCTTTTCTAAAACAAGATAATAAACTACAACTGTAGGACAGTCTTAAGTTCACTAGAAGTTGGAAGGAAGCAAATTTAAGCAATAATGAAGCTTTCTTAGTAGACATTTATGATGTCTCCATTAACAAATTCTGTTATATAGTAGAAATATGAAGAAATGCCATCTTTTAAAAAGCAATCTTAAAACATTTTTGAGTAAAGGCCAGCACATCTTTAAAACCTAATAGAGGTTCTTGGAACTTAGTAGAAAAATCTTATTTTGAGTTTTGAGATGAGGGCTTGCTGCTCAGGTGGGCCTCAAATTCCTTAGCTCAAGTGTTCCTCCCACATCCGCTTCCTGAGTAACAGGAGCTGCAGGTGCACCCTTCCCAGCATAGTTGTTGAATCCGTTGAAGCCTCCCCATCATTAAAACAGCAAGTTATTAGAATATTTTCCCATGAACTCCAAAGTGTAGAAACAAATCACCAGCATCTGTAAGGCGTACATGGTGTTTAAAGTTATGTCAGGGAGAGCTGAGGTAAAGCAGAGACTTGCAATAACCCTTGGAGCCATGAAATTACCAAGTTACCATTAGGTACTGCTGGCAAGTTTTGATAACAGCAACAAAATACTGTGAGGGGGCTTCCATGATGAGTGTGAGGAGACAAGATTGAGAGAAGAAACGGCAGTCCCGGAAGAATTCTCCAAACAGATCAAAGTGCCTACCAGATCAAAACCCTGTCCACAGGAAAACAGCTTAGGAGTAGATTCAGATTTGAACAGGGCAGGGAACACAAGAGGAAGTGTTGGCGATAAGAGGAGATAAAGTTACCAAAACTTAAGGTCATTTTAAAATTTTTATGATTTTATGAAAATAACAGAAAAAGGAGTCTAGAGCCATGGAGCTAGAAAAATGACCCTGGCTCACAATTCCTTGCAGAACACAGACTCTCTTATTATTACCTTGGTAATTGCTGCTAGAGTTCCCAGGCACCAACCAAAGGTGCAGACACTGTGCCAGTATTTGCTGTATGTCTCATTCAATGGAATCAGTACTCTTGGAATTAGTACTAGTATTGCCATCTAGTGCTTGTAATTTCACATCTGATTTTCATTTGCAGCCACAAAGAAATTCCTTTATTTTCTCTTAAGTCTATGTTTTTAAATTTTGAAATTAATACATGCACATAGTTAAGTAATAGAAGTCTGATACTAACAAGAAAAACAAAGCCATCTGTTAGCCCCAAGTCCATCTCGGCAGCACTCTCTTCTAACTCTTACTTGTTCCCTTCCTTCTGTAATAGATTTCCCTGCTGCCTTCCGTATTAAGGATTGAACCAGTGTCTACCACTGAGGGGCACCCCACCCCCAGCATCCACTGTTGGCTATAATTTTCATTGGTTTTGTAGTTTCTGGCGCATTCTCATTTCTTGCTAAGATATTTCACCCTTTTTCCTTTTTTTCCTTGTAATAATTTTGTATGGGCTTCAACTGTATCTCTTCAACTGGTCATTTGTAAGTGAAATGAGCAAGTCTATGTTCTGCCTAGAATAGAAGAGAATCTCAGTGCTGCTTTGAGACTGACCAAAGACTTAAGAAACTTCTAGAATAGAATGGTTTGAGGTTGGACCAGAGGTCATGAGCACTTAAAGTTCCAACATTTCACCATATTCCCTGACTAATAATGGTAATCAGCTCATTCTATTTAAAAAAATTTTTTTTTTTTTTTTAGTACTGAGGGTTGAACCAAAGCCTTTGCTCTGAGCTACATCCCTTTGCTTCATTTTGAGACAGAGTCTCACTTTGTCACTGAGTTGCCCAGGCTGGGCTCAGGCTTGAGATCCTCCTGATGTAGCCTCCCAGAGTGTAAGGATCACTAACAAGGCCGACACGTCCCACTGGTTTTTAATATAATGTTTATCTCAACTGAAATAATAACTATAACAGTTTTTTAAATGAGAATTAACATTAATTAGAATACAGAAAGTTTTCATTGCTTTAAATCAAGTCACATGTATAAAAAAGAAATAATTGACCAAATTTGTTTTCATAGAGAAGTAAATGTTTTCTAGATGCTTATATATGCCAGGCATTTAAAAAGTTTCTCCTGTCATACTCATTTAACTACCCTTTGAAGAAGATGCTATTGTGGACCCTATATGATGAAAGTAAGACACAAAAGACTCAAATATAACTTGATCCTGAGTTCACAATAGCAGTGTGGAGAAAGGGCTATTAGTATATAATTAAAACATGCTAAGAGGTGATTTGGAGATGATAAGAGTATTCCAAAGAGATAAAGTCTCTGGTTTACCACTATATAAATCAACCAAGGCTTGAAAACTTTTAGCTTCTGGCTTTTCAATAAGGAATTATAACCTACCATCTGTCTCAGGAATAATAAGAGAATATTTTTATGTGCTCAACTGTGATACTGCCTTTTTCCATGGGAGAAAACAGATTTTTGAAGCATTATTACTTATTCTTGCTCCCAGAAAATGAAATTCATGATGTACAGTGGAAACAAGAATATTACCTACTTTCTTCTTCCTACGAAAGTATAAACTTACAAAACTATTTATATAGGTATGCGTTTACAAAATTTCACTTAACTGTTTGCTAAAGAGTAAGTTTTAAAATCAGATTTTATTGGTACATTTTAGATACACATAATGGGGGGCTGGGGATTTAGCTCAGCGGCATAAGTACCTGCCTTGCAAGCAGGCGGTCGTGAGTTCGATCCCCGGTACCAATTAAAAAAAAAAAATAGATACACATAATGATCACATTCCTCATAGAGAACTTGTACCTGTACATGATACAACTTGATTCTGCCTTTCATTTCCCCTTTTAACTCTTTCTCTCCTCCCCACTTACAAAAGCTTTGTTTCCATTTTTCCTATGCTAAAGAATAATTTGAAGAATTTATAGAAATCCTGAAACCGAGATTTTATTAGCCAAACCGAAACAATAAATTATCATTTGTTTTATACAGTATTTTAGTTTAATCTAACTCATTGTCTAATAAAACACTTAAGTAGCATAAACTAAGATGTAAAAACTGGAAAGAATTTGTTGTATTTAGAAAACATTCTGGGATATAGCATATGCATAAGGACTAACTAACATTAAGGAAATCCTTAAATAATCAATGTACATATGTTTATCAACTTGTTTTACAGCGCAAGGCTCATCAGTTTTTTGTAAAATCTTTCACTTCTCCCACAAAATGTCATCAGTGTACCTCTCTGATGGTGGGTTTGATAAGACAAGGCTGTTCATGTGAAGGTAAGAACAAAGTGGAAATAAAGCGTGATTTGTTTAGGTGCCACTTTATTTGTTCAAACATTTACTACCTAAATTGTAACCAAGTAACTTTACTCTCTTTAAAAGGCATTCCCTGTTTGTTTCACTTAATTGTTTTTCTCTGGTTAACAAGATTGTAAACAATAAACTGAGCACCTTGCAAAAATCCCATTGAATGTTGGCAAGCTATATGATAGAAGGGAAAATGAAAGATCCTTGGATCAATTGTCATTGAAGTAAGCAATCCTATGCCTTTTCAGAAATACTAAATGTCTGCCACTGTGCCTCAAAAGATAGTTATCCTAATGTTAATAACCGAGATTTCTCCTTTCCTGGTCATTATGTATCTGTTGCGTGTTTGCTATGTACTTACTCTGTGCTGCTAGGCACTGGGGTTGAAGTAGTGAATGTGGGAAGGAAATCCTACCCTCGTGGAGTGGAGAAAGAGAAGACTAGGGGCCACTGAAACAGAAAACAGAGTAGATTTGTTGGATACCACTTTGTCTTTCTTAAGGCCTCCAAAATAAAAATTACTTAAATTTAATGGGATCTGTTATTTATGACTGCTTTAGAAATATTTTTTAATCAAATGACACTTGCCACAATAAAACTACCTTGTATATGATTTTCTGGCATATCTTATAAAAAGATAAGAAGATAGTTGCTAATTCAAATTCTAATACTAGTTTGTATTTCTTCGCTCTTCTGCTATTAGTATTGAGAAGACCTTAAAAAGTCCTTTAAAAGGGCTTTAAAATTGTAGTTGTGCCCATCAGATGTGTTTGTTCTCTTCATAACACACCTGCAGTTAGCCTGTATTTACTACTTTGAGAAAAGGGGAAATCAACAGCTTACTCAGTCACTGCAGTCTACATTTGATCAGTTCTCAGAACTGAAGTGAAAGATTTAGACTGCATTGTCTTAAATAATCTTACTAGATAGCATAGGTTCAAAGGAGGAGTTGTGGCTAATGAGTAATGAGTTGAGAGTTACAAGTGTATTAATTCATGAATGTGACTGGCATTACCCAGGAAGCACGTGTAGACTGAAAGAATAAGGACAGGACCTTGGGAAATACGATAAAGAGCAAGAAAAGCACAAAATAACCAGGTAGTCTGAGAAGAAATAGCCTGAGTCATGGAGCAGCAAGGTGTCACTAACGCTATGGGGGAGACTTGTACAGATTTCTCACTTTGTCTCATTTTGGACCATAGCCAGGTCCTGTCTGTTATTTTATATATTGTTTATCAGAAAAAATCCTGAGCAGATACCAGACTTTCTAAATCCTTGATAATTTTTACTCATCAGAATTATTTGTAATAAGGACTTTTTGAGATCTTTATGTGCTTTCTTGCCTTCTGGACTCTTATGCCATAAAATTGTGCCTATCTTTTCTTCAAATCCTTTAACCCTACCATATAAAGCCATGGAGACATAAGAATATCCCCAGTCTTTGTCTGACAGGTTTTTGTAAATGTTATGATAATGTAGTTCAGCCTCTAAAGATTACTGCCACTTTTATTTATCCCTGGATTAGATCCAGTATAGATACTTACTTTGTTGCTTTCACTGACCTTTAGGGAGGTGAGATTATTTTTCCTTATTAGTAAAACAGATTGTAACTTGTTACACATTCCTTTTCAGTGAATTGAGAGGTTTGTATAGGTTTTGACAGTTAGTACCAGGCTATCTTGTGTGTTACTTTCACAGTATCTATCAGTGATGCATAATCCATTTCGCCCATGTGTATGTATTCTCACAATGATATATTGCTTCTATTTCTTTCATCTTCTTTCTCCAGAATTCTCTAAGATTAATTTTAGGAGTATCAATTGTAATCTTAAACTATAACTGCTGTCAAAAGTTTGTTCAAATTATTTTAACCTTTAATTTTCACCCAATTGAGATTCATTGAAACCTGAGTTTGTTTTTAGATATTATCTTGTTTTAAAATCTCAGATTCATCATGTGAATATCAAATAAAGGGATCATTGCAATATTATTAATAGCTAAATAGTACTCTGAACCAGACTGCCTGGCTGTGAATCGCAGCATTGCCATTTCTGAATTTAGTGACAGTGAGCAAGTGACATGTGACACTGGCACTCTCACGTTGTCATAGGAAAATAAATATTCAATAAAGTTAATTATTGTTATCCTAGCTGTAGTTTAAATATGTAGAATGTTAACACCAAAAAATTTAATCCTATTTCATACCATTTTAAGCATTTAAAATTTTTATTTTCAAAAGACTGGTAAATCTCACCAGATGTAGCAGAGATATTCTTAGCTTAATGTTCCTAAGTGACAATTGCAAGAAAAATTTCAAGACAGATGCCATACCATAGTAGGATGAAGAGCTAGAAAGAACTCCAGAAATCACATTCAAAATAAAATGAAATGTAAGCTTTCATAGTGCCCTGCATGCAGTTACTGTTCAGTGAACTTTGCTGTGGTCATAAATGGATTTTTATTATTGTTTTGGGTTCTTTCCCTCTTAAAGTGTGTGGATTCTCATGCCATATAACTTGTGTAAACAAAGCTCCAACCGCATGTCCAGTTCCTCCTGAGCAGACAAAAGGTCCCCTGGGTATAGATCCACAGAAAGGAATCGGAACAGCATATGAAAGTCATGTCAGAGTGAGTATCATTAGTCAGGTTTAGATCAGTGCTTTAAGATTTATTAAATAAAGTCACTTTTCATAGTACCTAACAGAAAATTACCTGAGTATAATTTATCTAATTTTTTTATCTAGAGTAATGATTTGAAAACAAAAGTTTAACCTTTGTTTAGAAATAAATTCTAAAATGTCACAAACTTTTCTGTATTATTCCTGTTGTAACGAACAGATACTGAAATCTCCTAAAGGAGTTTTTAACCTCCTATCTTGCCAAACAGGTAGAGTATACTTATGAATTATGAAATTATCAAGAAGTAATCTTGTTGCCTTCATAAGAATATTTGCAATACAAGCTGAATTTCATCTTATTTACAAATTTGACTTTTATACTATAAAGAAGTCAAGAGTGCTGTGTTAATGAAATTACTTCTAAAAGTTAAAATGGTACCATTTGAAACTCTTGGTAAAAGGCACTATTTGAAGGGTATATTCTCATTTTTTCTCTTACATTATTAATGACATGTATGTCCCATCTCCATTTTACCAACCAAAGTGACAGATTTAAAATTTGTGCATATTTAAGTTTTTATTCTGTGTTTATGTAAGTAATTAAAAAGGCTGTCACTGATGTTTTCATTTGAATTGTGTTTGTGGCTGTTTGAAACGAAACTAAGATTCCTAAGCCAGCTGGAGTAAAGAAAGGATGGCAGAGGGCCCTGGCTGTGGTTTGTGACTTCAAACTCTTTCTGTATGATATTGCTGAAGGGAAAGCATCTCAGCCCAGTGTTGTCATTAGTCAAGTTATCGACATGAGGTAAGCTTTCAAGGCTAAAGATGTTTGTATCACTGTAGCATAGGAATCAAAAAGTCTCTGGTTTTTCTTTTGGTTTATCATGGTTTTACTTAAATGATCAACATGTTTCATGTTAATTTTCTAATTTTCTCACATTGCTATAGTAGCATCATTAAGTATATAAAGTAAGTTGTAATTATAGAATAGATGGAAATGTGTGCTGAATGTGTGGAGCTAGGAGCCGAAGAATAGAAGCTGATCCTCGGGATCAGAAGACCAGTTTAAAGGTTGTAGTTTAAAGGCATGGAGTAGAATCCAATGTGAAGGAAGGAATAAAAATCTCAGATCAGACAAGCCCTTGGAAAACATAATAAATCAAGGATCATGTGGGGTTTTTTTTGTCTTTTTCATTTTTATTGGTACCGGGGATCGAACTCACGACTGCCTGCTTGCAAGGCAGGCGCTTATGCCGCTGAGCTAAATCTCCAGCCCCAATCAAGGATCATTTAAATATGACATCTCTTGGACATTTCTGGTCTTATTTTCCAGATTCTTGGAGTAGCTTCTCTTACCTCCTCTCGTAATTCCAGGTTGTGTCCCTGAGGAATCATGCCTTCTACTATAGCTTCAGCTATAACTTCTGTCTTGCTGACTCCCAGACACATGTCTCCATCCACTGCACAGAACCCACATTTCTAGCTGTGCCTTGCACTGGCATTTCACATCTACATTTCAAACTTATTATTTCCCCCAAATATGGAATATGAAGAGACCAGTGCAAGAAATATCAGCAGGTTCTAAAAAAACTTGCTAGAAGACTGACTATAGAAAGATAGGGAGGCCTAGGTGCAAGAGTATGTAACTGTAGTTCTAGTTACTTGGAAGGCTGAGGCGGTGGGATCACCTGAGCCCAGAAGCTTGAGGCCATCTGGGCAACATAGTAGGACCTTGTCTCAAAGAATAAAAGTCAAAGACTAAGGTGTCAAGCTTTATGACCAATAACAAAATTGAGGAAATCACAAGAAGTTTACTATGGAGGAAATGTATCTTAGATTTGGAGGGCACAATAAAATGTCAGATAAACTGGGTTAAACACACATAAGTCTTATGGGCTCTGACGATGCAGTACAGGATCCAGATCCCAGGTTATCATGTATCCCCTCTGGCCTGGATCTTTGGATAAATCAGCAATTATTTCTGGCTGCTACATATTGTACCACTGTTAAGTTATTCTTAACAAAATTACTTTCAGTATTATCAGTTATAATAAGGAATCTTTTTATTTAATACAGTGTTCTGTGTAGCTTTGAGGGTTGCTTCTTGTATGTTATTTGGTTGCATAACCAAAACCATATCCATAGCACTGTATATTAACTTTAAATGGCTCACTTTGCTTTCAGAGATGAAGAATTTTCTGTGAGTTCTGTCTTGGCTTCTGATGTTATTCATGCAAGTCGAAAAGATATACCTTGTATATTTAGAGTAAGTGTGCCCTATAATTTCATCACTCGTTTATCTTTAATGAGTATGTTTTAAATCTTCATATAACTCATAAACTTAGTAAAACCAAATTTACATTTTTTAATATATTCTGTATCACATACACTGTGTTATTCTGATGCTAAGTTTGGTTAAGGAAAGTCCTGTAGAAAACATAAAAAATGGCTTCTAAAAATGCTTCCTGTTAGATAATATTTTTAAATAAATACTATTGCATGGAAAATTAGATAAATGTGAATTTCCTCAAACTTTTACATCCAAAATCAAGATTTAACAATAGTTTCCATCTCATGAAGTTGTAAATAAGGTTAAATGTTTAACACTTGTAAAGTGGTTAGACCTATCTGATGTTTGGTGATTGTAAATGTCAGTTGTGGTTATAGGACTATGTGTAATACCTTTTTGTGAGGTACTTTTATAGCAAGAAAAATAAAAGTGATACTAACATCTTGAGTGGTATCTCCTACCTTGCTGCTGTTGTGAATTCTGATGTTAGAGCTAGTTCTTCTGATTAGGAACAGGTGAATTCTGCTGAAGGTGTCATTTAATGAATGCTCATACTATTGGTGAATGCTGAGCAAGCCAGCATACCATGAAATCAGAGCATCATGTCATGAATATTGATTAAATTTTTTCAGGTCACAGCTTCACAGCTCTCAGCACCTAATAACAAATGTTCAATCCTGATGCTGGCAGACAGTGAGAATGAGAAGAGTAAGTGGGTAGGAGTGCTCAGTGAATTGCACAAGATTTTGAAGAAGAACAAATTCAGAGACCGTTCAGTCTATGTTCCCAAAGAGGCTTATGACAGCACTCTGCCTCTTATTAAAACAACTCAGGCTGCTGCAATCATAGGTATGAATTTATAATATTTACTCTATTATCATAATTGTTTACTGATCTACCTTGTGAGCTAGAATTGGCTTTTTTCTAGGAATCCTCAATGTCCAACATACTGTGTTCAGTAAATGTTTATCGAAATGAAAGAGACCTGTACTGGTTATTTTTTAACAATTATACTTTATAATAGGCATGTGTTTTCTTCTAAAACACCAACAATGCTAAAGGTTAGCCTCTTCTGTTTTCTATTTGTGTGAATTAGAAAAGTTAATTTCTTAGAGCATTAAGTTTCATATACAAAATATAGACACTAATTACCTTGGTAAGGTTATTGAGAAGTTTAAAATACATGGAATACTTAAGGCAGAGTAACCTGCAATTAAAATGGCCTCAGTAATTGGAAATTTACATTTTGGACATATTCTTACTTACACACTCACCTCTTTTTTTTTTTTACTAACTACTGAGAAATTTCATAGTCAGGTTCAAATACCTTTCACAGTTCTTCTTTCTCAAAATAACACATAGAACTGGACCTCGGCCACTAACAAACTAGATTTTTCATTCTTTTTTTTTTTTTTCTTTTTACCATTGATTAGATAAATGTTTACATGTTTTCATAGCTAGTGATAGAGATTTTTAAATATTCTATTTTAAAAGGCATGAGGATTTAACACTAATCTGAAGGATCTCATAATGTTATTTTTGTTTTCATTTTTTTCATCAAATTCTATTATCTGGTTTATTCTGTTAGCTTTATGTGGTTCTTTGCCTGATAAAAGTGTTTTATGTTTGTGTCTTACATAGATCATGAAAGGATAGCTTTGGGAAATGAAGAAGGATTATTTGTTGTGCATGTCACCAAAGATGGTAAGAGGAAATTCACTGTTTTTTGGAATATTTTTAAATTGTATGTTAGAAAATTCTTGAGTCTAAATTCTAAAAAGAGAAAAGTTTGATTTTATTTATTCTGTAATTGAGATATCCAAGCATAATTTGATAATATTTCTGAATCAAAAGATTAAGTTGCTGTAATCCTCCTCAATTCTAAAACTTCAAGTACATATTATTGTCTGTATCATTTTGTTTAGTGGTTAAGCTAGATGAATTCAGATTGCATTTCTAAAGATGGCACATGGAAAAAAACTGCAACATGATTTTTCCATACTTTGTTAGTCCTCTCTCTAGTAGGTAGCAGCCATAAAATATTGTTTGAATTTTATTCCCACAATTTCATACAATAGGTTTTTTCTTAATAAACAAGTGCTGGGTGAAACAAACAGAAACCAACTTAATTTGGTATTCATAAATACAGTGTTATAAGTTCTGTCTGTGTCAAGTTACATATTTATTTAACATTCATTAATTGGCTATCCATAGAAATGTCTTCATAGAGATATGTTACCAGTTACTGTTTTTAAAGTAAGTGAAGATTTTTAGAATATATCACTAGTAAAAAGATTTTTCTTCAAGATATGGAATGCTTTTGTACAAGAGCTCTTTGGTTTAACTGTCCTGGCTACCAGAGTTCTCAATGCTAAATTTAATGCCTATGATAGTTGAGCTAATTGATCCTATAATGGGGTTATTATTTTCCTTTTTCTTTATGATTTCTGATTTATTCTTCTCTTTTATAAATTGACATCTTTTTTAGTATAATGGGAGCATAATTAATAAAACTATTTTGCATTTGATTTATTTTTTTGTGTAGAAATTATTAGAGTTGGTGACAATAAGAAGATTCATCAGATTGAACTCATTCCAAATGATCAGCTTGTTGCGGTGATCTCAGGACGAAATCGTCACGTACGACTTTTTCCTCTGTCAGCTTTCGACGGGCGAGAGACAGATTTTTACAAGCTGGCAGAAACTAAAGGGTGTCAAACTATAACTTCTGGAAAAGTGCGCCATGGAGCTCTCACATGCCTATGTGTGGCTATGAAAAGGCAGGTCCTCTGTTATGAACTCTTCCAGAGCAAGACCCGTCACAGAAAATTTAAGGAAATTCAAGTCCCGTATAATGTCCAGTGGATGGCAATCTTCAGTGAACAGCTCTGTGTGGGATTCCAGTCAGGATTTCTAAGATACCCATTGAATGGAGAAGGAAGTCCGTGCAGCATGCTCCATTCAAATGACCACACACTGTCATTTATTGCACATCAACCAATGGATGCTATCTGCGCAGTCGAGATCTCCAGTAAAGAGTATCTGCTGTGTTTTAACAGCATTGGGATATACACTGACTGCCAGGGCCGAAGATCTAGACAACAGGAATTGATGTGGCCAGCAAATCCTTCCTCTTGTTGTAAGATTCTCTTTCTTATGACTGCCTTATTCTGTCTTCTTCCTTTCTTTTTCCATCTACTTCATCTAAGTGTAGTCATTGTTAATAACAGGTTTTTAAAAATCATCGTTAAGGGTTTTTCTAAATGCTTTTTTGTTTGTGGAAAGTAATCATATATAGCTAGGCGTAGGCAATGAGATTAACATTCACATGTGTCCACTTAAAACAAATGTTTTTGTGGTATATTTTACTGAGATGGATCTTTTTATCCTATATTATTTATTGAAATAACTCTAAATCTCTTCATTGTACCCTAAAATACAATGCTGTATTAGTAATTCACAGGTCTTTTTCTGGATAAGTGAATTGTATAATTAGTTATATAAAGGTATAGTGTAGCACCTATAAGCAGTTTTATATTTTAATTTAGATAAACAAATTAAAATTGTTTATTTCATTCTGAAGAAATGCTAAGACATTAACAAATATTTGAATACTTCTATTGTTAAATAATAATTCACTTGTTATTGAATACATGCAGTTTCATTGTACGAGATGTCTCAATGAGCAAAATAGACACTACATTCACAAAGTATAGGATGCAGTAAAAAAGATTCATGGTAAAACAAACAGACAGCAGAGATAAAATACCATAGGAGAGGTAGAGTTTTTTTTTTTCAGAAAATTTAAGGGAGTCCTATATAATTTCCAGTGGATGGCAGTCATCAGTGAAGCACTGTCATGGTTTCTACGATGCTCTATGAATGGAGAAGTCCATGCATATTTGCCATGTAGATGAGGATGCTCAAGGAGTAGCTAATCTAAATTGCTTTCTTTGGTAAAGGAAGATACATGAGTATCCTTAAATGCTGATAGGAAATAATGACCAGGAAAACATTGTCTTATCTGGGAAATACAGAAAATACAGTAAGATCCCAAAAAGGCCAAAGAGGATGGAATTTGTAATACAGAATTATTATTTGGGGCAGAAGGTATAAAACTTCTATCTTAGGGTGGAAGAGGAACGATGGGGTCGAGTCCCATTAAGTGTAAAGTGCAGGGGAAGAAAGTTTAGGAGGACAGTAAATACTGATTGCAGAAAACTTAGGAAATCTAAATTTAAAGAATGAAAAAATAGGAGCTGGGGATTTAGCTCAGCGGCATAAGCGCCTGCCTTGCAAGCAGGCAGTCGTGAGTTCAATCCCTGGTACCGATTAAAAAAAAAAAAGAATGAAAAAATATGCCTAATCTCAACCCACCCAGATTTAACTATGTTTAATATTTTACTTCTTAAATGCATACTCTTACCTGTGGCACAATATGTAGAATGAGTGCTGTTGGTAACTGACTCTTGTAATTAGGGTGCTCCTATGTACAGTAAGAGTTAGAATATCCAATTTGATGTTTTTCTAAATAATCCATAACCTTAGTTTAGTTATTGGCTTGTGTCATTATTAATATTCAGTCTTTTAACCGGTAGATACTGATTATCTACCCTATTCATGTAACTATGTTCAGGCACTTTGTCACACATTTTTAACTGGATCTAGAACTTTTTTTTTTTTTTTTTTTTTTTTTTGGTACCGGGGATTGAACTCATGATTGCACGCCTGCATGCTTACAAGGCAGGTGTTGTACCGCTGAGCTAAATCCCCAGCCCGAGAACATTTAAGATTTCTCCACTTCATAATTTGTTTCATTGTTAAACTACTTTGAGTCACATACTTTAAAATGTAATGAAACCTCTTTATTCTGATAATGTTGGCAGAAGTCTTATGTATTATTAGTTCTATATAATCTGAACATGGTATGCCAGTTCTTTATAATTTATGCTGTTTTTGTTTCAAAAATGCTTTAATGTGGCTGTTACATGGTAACAATAGGGTTGTTGGGGAGAGTTTCCATTATACAGTTACTTAGGACAGACCTTTCAAATGTTTGGGCTTAATACTTCAAACTAATCAGTGAACTGTTACTTCTTTTCTTTCTTCCAGGTTACAATGCACCTTATCTCTCAGTATACAGTGAAAATGCAGTTGATATCTTTGATGTGAACTCCATGGAATGGATTCAAACTCTTCCTCTCAAAAAGGTAATTTCAACTTAAAATACAGCTGTTTTATGATAAGTAGCTCAACACCATATTCTTTTTATTACATGTAGTTTCTCTTTATTGAGGTGGGCATGATGGCACAAGCCTGTAATCCCAGCACACTGTGGTTTCTGATATAGGATGATCCCAAGTTGGAACCCAGTAGATTGGCAAGACTCTATCTGAAGGTAGTTAAATAGTTCTCAGGATATAGCTCAGTACAAAGGCCATGCATTCAGTCTCCAGTATGGCAAAATCAGTCATACCCAGTTAATTGGGTATGATTAGTATCATGATCAGCAACTAGAGTAGATCATACAATCTAAACTGATACTGTTATCTTCTGCTTTTGGATTAAGGAACTCTGGAGGAGCTTTGATTATTATTAATTGTAACTGTTTGTCACATAATATTATATGGTGTTCAATCTTGTGAGGATAGAATTCACCCACTAGAACTAGTGATTAAACTTAGAGCCAAACTATGTTTAGGTGTCATGATTTAAAAATAAAGATTTCAAATATTCCTAATAAAACATATTTCCCGCTAACATCTTTCTGTTTCCATAAGGTAAAGCAAATCATACAAGTATAGAATTGCTATTTTGCAAAAATGAAGAATAATTTCATTTGACTGTATATAGTACTCATAGTATGTGAATCATTAGTTCTGAGAGACACTTTAGAAGACTAGGTGAAAGAAAGTAGCCAAGATTATATTTCAAAATGTGACCCAATGTAAAACTACTTATGTAATGAAAATGCTCTTGTATATTTTGCCACATATGAGACATAATCAAAATATATGGTGAATGTTTAATTATAGTAGAAGACACATTGCCATTAATTCCCCCTCAGAATGCTCTCCCTCGTTTTGAAAACACTCATCCCATCATTCTTGCTGCTTTCTGAAGTAGGTCTGGATGTCCTCTTTCATGACTGTCTTTCAATATATGATAAAAAAAAAAACAAAAAAAAAACAAAAAAACAGCGACTGCAGCTGCCCAGAGCCAGCTGAAAGGGAGGCTTGTGAAGACATTTAGGCGTGTGCTCGTCCGTCTTGTTCACCAGCTCTGGCCCTGTGTGACTTCATGGGTAGATGTTTTGTGTCAATTCAGGACATTGAGGTGACCACAGAGTCCTCAGTAAAGACACAAAAGAAGATTTTCAGAGCTGCTTCAGAAGTGGCAAAAACAATGGGCTGAGTGTGTTTGAAGTGTGGGAAGGAAGTTTTGAGGGGGATTAAGAATAAAAGATCTTATTGTAATCATTTTTTAATGTAAACATTCACCCTGTGTTTTAAGCATACCTAGATGAAGCTACAGCACCTCCTGATTTATAAATTTGAGGTGTCTACAGTGTTTGTTTGTTTTTGTTTGGCTTCGGTTTTTGTGAGGGAGGTTGGTTTTGGGATTTTTTTTTTTTTTTTTTTTGCCTTCACCCACTGTATTTCTAAGATGCACATACATTGCTCTGTGTATATTGTATGTTCATTGCTTTTTTACTACACTGTTTGTTGGTTGAATATGTCACTGCTTATTCTGTGATTGGCAGACATTTGAATTATTTCCTAGCTTTTTACAGTTGTGAACAAGGCTGTGTATGTCTTTTGGTGTAGGTATGCAGTTTATTTAAGCCCTGTGCATAGAGTAGAATTGATGGGACTCAAGGAATGTAATTGTTCAGCTTTTGAGAGACTGTTACCTTATTTTCCAATGTGACAGTACCAGATGATATTGCCATCAAAAACATATAAGTGTTTTTAACCCATATCCTAAGACTTGCCATTGTCAGAATTCATAGTTGCATAAATAGAGATAAAGTCATTGAATTATTAATTTGCATGTCCCTGATGTGGTTGGGAATCTTTTATATATTTATTCATCACTTATATTTCCTGTTCCATGAAATGCCTGGTCATATATTTTGTGTATTTTTTTTTCTCTTGGAGTTATTTTATTGTTCTTCTTGAATTTTGGTGGCTTGTTACATAATGTGGCCCGTGGGCTAGAAATGGACCTTGTTTGTGATCTATCTATAGTATTCCTGTTTATGGTGTATTTTCCTGAAGAGAAGTTACTAATTTTACCTTACACATATTTCTCTTCTTTAGTTTTGTCTTTTTTCTCTTCTTTAGGAAACTTCTATCTCAAGATCATCTCATAATCATTTTCTCCAAATGTTTTTAAATTTTGCTTGTTACATGTCTGTCATTAACTCATTTAGAATTGATTTTTCCCTTTTCGTTTCTGGTATATGGGTCAAAGCTGGCATTTAATTTTGTTGGTTCCATATAACTAGTTGCTACATCATCATTTAACAATAGACCTTTCTTTCTACGTCATCTGGGCTTTCTTCTCCATCATATGCAGGCATTTAGTATTTAGTAATAAGAATTCATAAAGCAGCTGTGTTGATATCTTGCAAATAAAATTATTTGCGTACTAATGGTGTTACAAAGTCAAATTTAAGGTTTGACTGTATTAGTGACATAATTTTATTTATTTGCTCAGGATACTCTCTTCAAAATATCATTATAAATTGGTTTAAATTAGATACTACTATACCTTCTCAGTCAGAATTATCATTTCTTATTGATTTTTTTTCCCCAAGAGGACTCTGAAGTAGATAAATGAAAGGTCTTAACAGTTGTGCTTTATAAATAGGTCAGAGTTTGTCATTTAAGTCTTAAAGGTTCTATTGAAATACTAATTTTATTTTTTCCGATTTTAGGTTCGACCTTTAAACAGCGATGGATCATTAAACCTTTTAGGGTTGGAGACAATTAGATTGATATATTTCAAAAATAAAATGGCAGGTAAGAAAATACTGGATAGATTCAATGGAAATGTTATCTGTCACCTGATTTCCCAAGGTCACAGAATAATAAGTGCCAAAGTACAGACATAAAGTCAGGTATATCTTACTCAGGAGAGTGTGATCTTGGCGACTGTCAAACTCTTTTTTTTTTTTTTTTTTTTTTTTTTTAATTTAAGAGGAAAAAGAGAAAAACACAAATCAAAACAAAGCGGTGTAAGGGTACACGTAATACAGAACTACCAAAAAAAAATAACAGTAAGAAATCACCTGTTAATAGATTACATATTATCATCTTGAAAATAGTTGTTCAAATCACAGTATCAAAGAATACAAAGTGGACATTCAAACAGGGAGACTGCAAAAAAATATGGAACGCTTCACGAATTTGCGTGTCATCCTTGCGCAGGGGCCGTGCTAATCTTCTCTGTATCGTTCCAATTTTAGTATATGTGCTGCCGAAGCGAGCACGACTGTCAAACTCTTAATATATTAAAATAAAGTATTGAAGAAAATGTGTTTATATTTTACATAGCTGTGTAAGCAGAATAACTGATTCTGACATACATTGCTGTTTTTCTCAGGAATATCTAGGTAGGTAGAAAAGGTATAGCTGAACTTGTCTTCTATACTTTTAATACCATAGAACCTAACCAAACTTAGCAGCATGAAATTGTGGATACTCATCCAGAGTTCCAGTTGGTATTTCAGGAATCCACCTCCAGCCGAGGATACCACCTCCAGCAGAGGGTTTAGTACTTCTGGAATGCTGATGATAACACTGAAAGAAGCAGATGAAAAAGTGAAATCAGAGGAATGCCCCGAATTAGGGAAGGAATGGAAACCTTGAACATCATAGGCAAGAGAAGGGCATTTGGGCAGTGACAAAGCGTGGGGTGAGGCTGTCACACTGGGATTAGATACCCTATACCAAATGCAAGGGAGCGTCACCACATAGGATTGAATGTTTTCCATCAGTCTGGCCCTGAGCAGAACTTTAATGAACTTTGTGCTCTTTTCTATATAATAAAATCATTTTCATTTTATAGCAATAGAGTTATGCCTGAGGTGTTCATAAATTTCTGATCTTTTGTAGTGAATATTTTTAATAAAGATGCACTTATGGTATACTTTGTATATAAAATAATATTTGAATTGAATTAAATTAAGTGAAAATATTGCCATAAGAAAACATATTAGCCAGGCATGGTAGTGCATGTCTGTAATACTAGAACGTGGAAGGCTGAGGCAGGAGAATCACTGTGAATTCAAGGCCCTCCTGGACTACAAAGTGAGTTCAAGGTCAGTATGAACTACAGAGCAAGACCTTGTCTCAAAAAAAAAAAAAAAAGAAAGAAAGAAACATTAAAATGTTTATAACAATTATCTATAGGTAGTGGGATTATCTGAATATTTTTCCTCCCAGCTGCCACCATATCCCTAAAGTAAACTTTTGTTTGTTTAAAAAAAATCCATCAGAAGTTTATTTTTATTGTTTTTTGGTTTATGGGGGTTTTTTGGTTTTTGGTTTTTGGTTTTTTTTGAGACAGGGTCTCACGCTATGCAGTTCAGGTTGGCCTTGAGCTCACTTAGTAGCCCAGGCTGGTCTCAAACTCGCAATGATCCTCCTGCCTCCCGAGTGCTGGGATTACAGGCATGAGCCACCACACCTGGCAATTTGGTTTGTGTTTTAAGTAGTACAGTAAACAGATTGTTTGGCTTCTGGTTCAGTGGTTTGACACATACACCAGAACTGGAGGTTTCTTGGTGTTTGGGCTAGTGATGAAAAGTCTGCTGAGAGGATTTGAGGATATTCAGTATGACTTGAGAAAGGACATTCAGATTTTAGCCAAGATTCCCACCTGGATGGGTTCATCATGAAGCTAATGAAACTGAGGAGTAAACTTCTTAAGACTCTTAATTTTGTATTCCCTATCTCAGAGGAATCCAAATATTTGCATAAAATTGGTCTACCCTGTTTTCACTTGATGTAACTTTACTAATCATAAAATATATCTATCCCCACATCATATCTGTGGGACAAAACCTCTTCCAACTTGTGTTTTCCAGGCTTTCCTCTGTCTGCTCTAGGCCAGGAATAGAGATAGAGCTATAGAATGGAGACCTGACAAGATTTCAATATGGTTGTTTTGTCCTTTGATAAAGGAGGGAAATCCTGTTTCCAAGAGGTTTTCTGCATGTTGCTTTCTCCCCTCCTACAGGAAGTGTATCTTCTAGCTGTCCCAGATTTCTCACTGCCACCTTAACTGATCATGCCCTGCTTTGCTCTCATAATCCCCAAATTCTGGAATCATGTCATACATTCTCATCCACTTTTTAAAAAATTATCCTTTTAATGATTGTTACTGGTAAAATACTCTGCGTAAACTACATGACTATACTATAAGGAACGTTACTTGTTGCTAATTATCTATTTTGATTTGCCATAAGTTCCATATGGCTTATTTGCACATCCTTCACATTTCAAAGTTTTCAGTCTTAAGAACTTCAAAGATTGACTTTTTCTCTTTTTCCTTATCTTACTTAGTTAATGGCATACCATCATGTATTATGGATACAGATGTCTGTTATCTTCTTACAGTGTGTTCACAAAGCCTGAAGGGTTTCCCTGGCTGACAGTTTACTCTTAAATATTAAAACTGAAATTGAGACAGGCGTGGTAGTGCACCCCTATAATCCTAGCAGTAGAGAGCCGAGGCCAAAGGCCCCGTGAGTATGAGCACAGCCTAGGCTATGAGCAGAACAGACACTAGTGCTAAAGATGCACAGTTAAGTCTCATTAAATACTCTCAAGATCAGAAGAGTGGAATAGCAAAAGATTCTTGTCCTTACTAAAGGAAGAGAGTGAAAACCATTCCTTATTCCACGTCTCAATAAATGAAGTCATGCAAGGAATTTTTATTATGCAAAGATAATTTTAATTATTCATATAAGTAATTTGCTAAATATGCCTGATTATTGTGCATATTAACAGCAGCTTTGGGGGACAAGGCATGTGTAACTAAGTGGTAGAGCACTTGCCTACAACACTGAAGGCCCTGGGTTCTGTCTCCGGCACAAAGGAAAGAAAACCTGCAACTTTTGAACACAGAAAGCCACTGAAGCTAGTGCCTGGAGGGGGAGAGAGGAAAGTGTAGGCAGGAGAAGTGAGGTGGCCAAAGTGATGGGACACCACCTAGTTTTCTTGTAGCAAAATTGTATCGTCTGTTTTCATAATTCAAATAAAAATGAAAATGTATTTGGTATTTAATATAAGCATATGTTTGTGTACAGTTGGATCGAAAATTATTGCTTATTTATTGTGACTATCAGTGTATAATTTAAAAATCATAATTGTATATGCTTATTCAATTGTTTCTATTGCCAGAAAAGTTGATAAAAAGTACTTTAGTAATTTAAAACATCACCATTATTCTTTGTAATTTTTTTAATAGAAGGAGATGAACTAGTTGTTCCTGAAACATCAGATAATAGTCGGAAACAAATGGTTAGAAGTATCAACAACAAGCGACGTTACTCCTTCAGAGTCCCGGAGGAGGAAAGGATGCAGCAGAGGAGGTAGGTGTTTACTCTGCGTTTATCATCCATCTGTGCTTCCTGCACCTGGAGAGAACTATCTGGTGGTAATACTACATTTGGTTTGGAAGGAAATTCTGGTACCTGAAAATGTATCATTCATGTATGGTTGAAAACTGCAGGGACACAGGGTAACGCAGTGATAGCTTCCTTGCCTATTATGTGGGTTCACTCCCTAACACCCCAAAAACTGCAAAAATGAATGTGTCATTTTAGGTAATACTCTCAAAGTTTTAAGAATACATTGGATAGAGTACCATATTTTGATTCACTTTTGTATGTATATCAAATAGTTAGAATTTTAAAATGTTTACCTTTTTAAAATATAAATATAAATCGTATTTGTCTCTATAGTAAACCAGTATATGGTTAAGAATGCCAGACTAATTGTTCTCTTTATGAGCAGATCTCAACTACATGTAAAAATATTTCTAATTTTTAAATATATATACATAAATTCTCAGAATTATCTACAGAATAAAGCAGATCCTAGATCACTGATATGTAAATATTATAAAAGGACCCTTTGGACTGGGAGTAGACCCTCTGAACTAGGTCAGTGGTAGAGTAACTTGTCTAGCATGTGCAAGGCTCTGTGTTTGATTCCTAGCTCTAAAAATTAAAAATAAAAAATAAAAAGATTCCCTCTCATGTCCCACCCAAAATCATGATATTTTAATTAAAATGGAAATGGATTATTAACTGAGTATATTATTGTTCTAATTATATCCTAATTAACACAACTTAACTTTTATTTTTAAAAGTCAAAAATAAAATATATTTATTTTTTTAACTTACCTGGTTTGATCATGGAGAAAGTATCTAAACAGGTGTTTGTCTTTCAGGGAGATGCTACGAGATCCAGAAATGAGAAATAAGTTAATCTCTAACCCAACTAATTTTAACCACATAGCACACATGGGTCCTGGAGATGGAATACAGATTCTGAAAGACCTGCCCATGGTAAGAAGGAGGGAGAGAGAACAGACTTGGATACACACATGGGTCACACAGGCGTCAAATGTAATAAAACATTTCTCAGGGTCTGTCAGAGTATAAGATGCATGAAGACCTCTTTGATGAAAAAACAAAATTTAGACATCTGTTAAAAACCAAGCAAATCAAATTCTTTATACCCTAGCAATTTCTCCCATACTACATTTGATCTTAGCCAAAAGACAGTGTCATATTTAAGATAGGTTGTCTATCAGATCACTAAAATTTCACTAAGTTCAAAACAGCTTGAACTTTTCTCTCAAGAGATCCAAATTAGCACGGTCATTAATAGTCATGCCTCTTAGCTAACTGAAGTTAAATCTTTTTCCTTTGCCCAATTACAAATATATCGCAAAGTAAATTGTACATAAAGAGAACAACAAAGTAAAATTGTTGTGTTTTAACAATACAGATTGTGTTGTCAGACATATTATGTTGAACTTAAGACTGTTAATGGAATTAGCTAATTATCTGGGTTCTACTTGTTCTGAACATTTTAGTACTACAAACTGAAACTTCAGTATGACTCTTCTGAACAATAGAGATAGTCATTAAGAATTTTAAGCATAATTTATATTTAATGTCAATGTAGAGTTGATTTGTGAATTGTGACCTAAATCTCTAACAAAATCTGTTTTAACTTAATCATATTATTAACACTATTGTGGTAGAAGAGCTGCAAGAGAAACTAAGTAACATAGTTTGATGTGCAGTCAGATTTTTAACATAAAAATTAACTTAGAAAGGGAATATTGCTTTTATTTTATAGGAAAAAAAATTTAAATCTGCATTCCTCTGAGCCTGAGTACTTCACTGGAAATATCTCAGTTAACAAGCTGGTCCTGCCTTCTTATTTTTATTTTTTCATCATCAAGAGATTATTCACAGAGTCTGCCTGGCAAGTGTGAAGTCATGAGTTCAATCCCTGAAGCCAAAAAGAAAGAGTGAGAGAGGGAGATTATTATTATATGGTCATAATAATGTTCTTTCCTTTACGGAGTTCAGATTATTCACAGTAGATACTTTTCCTTTTTGAATAGAGATTTTTATCCACATATGAACAGTATTTTCCTTCAGATGGAATAGTTTCAGCTGGGCATGGTTGTGCATACCTATAATCCCAGCGCTCGGGGCTGAGGCAGGAGGATCAATGCGAGTTCAAGACCAACCTGGAATAGATAGCAAGACCTTATCTCTGGAAAAGAAAAAGAAAAGCAAACATGAAATAGTTTCAGTACAGTATTTAATAAAATGTTACTCTGCCTGGTGTTCTGCTGTTATCAGATGAAAAATCAGTTTGCTAATGTTCCGAAGTTTTTTTAGACCTTCATGCACAAGAGTAGGCACCCTGACACCAAAAGAGCAGACTTCAAACATTGTAAGACATTTTGCCAGAGTATCTCTCCTTCACTTTTCTCCCCTCACCACACTACCCCTTAAAAGAAATCAGTATTTTTTGTTGTTATTTAAAATATTTCTATTGCTAAACAAATGTAGATAAAATTCCCCAAGGATTCACCCCTACCCAGCTCCGTAGCATGTGACTGTCTGTGCTGGCTGCTGATTCTGAGGAGGCCTTTTGGTTTTTACTATTTGTTGTCACCTGCATTTCTTTTTAACCCAGGCCCACCTTACTGGTTCTTGTAGGCATTAACACTGATTTTTTTTTCTCTCGCAGTTTAGTCCAGATTTTAATGTGCCTTTAATGTTTCATTTTCATGTAAGCACCTTTGTGTTTCCAGGTTAAGAAGTTGCTGTGGGGGCTGGGGATTTAGCTCAGCAGCATAAGCACCTGCCTTGCAAGTGTGTGGTCATGAATTCGATCCCCAGTACTGATAAAAAAGAAAAGGACAATAAATAAATAAGTTGCTATAAATTTTCAAGACCATCAGGATTCCTACTATTCACACATGTTATTTTCACATGATTTTTCTCATTTCATTGCAAAAGGATATATGAGCTGGGGTTTTTATAGACATCCATTTAATTACCTAACAAATGTTTCTTGAACATTTGCTGTCTGCCCAGGGCCATGCCTATCTGAGGGTAGATATTGATAAACAATACAATAATATGCATGTCTGAACATAATAACAATAATATGCATGTTTTATCTGTGTACATGTGTATTTATTGCAAAGTTTATCATCTTGTAGGTATTTTCAGATTTTGCCATGTTCTTTCCATTGAAAAGGAATTCTGAACAGTTTCCAAAAACTAAAGATGAGTTAAATTCATCCGTTAAAATATATAAGCTTTTGAGTACCAAAGCCATGTATTATCCATCATCTCTGCAAAGAACATGTGTCCTATTTTTATGTTTTAACTTTAGTAAATCAGTATTTTTCCTGTGAAATACTTATGAGCATAGAAAGTTTATTAAATCTCTTTAAAAGCTAATACCATTTCTTTTATATGAAATGATCCTGAAACAGTACTCTGTTATTTCTTGAATATAGAAAGGGCAATAACCTAAAGGAGTCAGTGTGTTTTCTTATGTCCTGTATCAGAGGTGAATTGTTTATTTGTATCTTAGGAAGCCAAAGAGTATGTCTTTTTTTTGTTTGTTTGTTTAACTTTTTATCGGTACCAGGGATCGAACTCACGACCGCCTGCTTGCAAGGCAGGTGCTTATGCCGCTGAGCTAAATCCCCAGCCCCGTATGTCTTACATAAATATAGAGTTGGTTTTCTTGGAACTTTTTTTATAATTTATATCATTCAATAAGATCTAGTGATGAAGGAAAGATTTTTTTTCCTCTGAAAGGTGCAAAAATAGCAGTGTGCTTCTGTATTTGTAGCATAGTACATCTTATCCACTCCTAATATTGACAATATAATGTAGCTCAGTGTCCTCTTAGGGTTTCCAGAAGTACTTTTTCTTCTTGAACTGGGTGTATAGCTTAGGGGTAAAATACTGGCATAGTATGTGAAGCCCTGGGTTGTGTTCCTGAAGCCTCCTCTCGCAACCAAAAAAACCCCAAGTAATTTTGCTTCCTTAAAACAAAGTTACAGGGGCCAGGGGTTTAGCTCAGTGGCATAAGCACCTGCTTGGCAAGCGAGAGGTCTTGTGTTTGATCCCCAAAACCAAAAAGAAAAAAAAATCAAAGTTATATACCTGTTTTTCCCTTGTTTCAAACATTAGAAATTACTGTATCAATTTACTCATGTCTCAGAAGCAAAAACAGTGTCTCATATGAAAGCCTTTCTTTTAAGCCTTGGTAATTCCTGAGATAGTTTTACAAAACTAGCTCATCTCCGCTCATAAGAGCAAAAATGCTGCACTGGATTGCGTCAGCATTGTCTCTGGGACATTGTCCGCCCTCGGCCTCTAGCGACGGGACCCTGTGCTCAGAATCATTTACTCTCCATGGCCTGAGCCTCAGAAATCCCCATCATGAAAAGGTGCTGCTCCCCCAGTAAGCAATAATAGTTACTTTATCTAAAAATAAGAGTCCTTGATTTCAAAGGCTTTTTGACATTATTCTGTTTTTTAGAAACAAACCTGAATATTGAAAGGAAGACTTTTCCCTGACACAAACTTGTTCTTTTAGGTGTATACATGGAAATAAGCTTGTGCTTAAAAGTAAATCAATAATTAGTTTCATCATAGAGAAATAGGAATAATAAAGGCCAACACATCGCAGAAATGTAATACTATGAAATATTTTTAGTGGTTTTAGATTCTAAAGAAAATTTCAGAGCACCTCTAGTTGAAAGCTACTGTAGATTCTTTAACTGATTTTTGCTTTTTCTGTACTTAATGTTCTTGATAGATTTTTGCCATGTTTTGATTGTATCACATAAGGAAATTCCAAGCTAAACTCTGAAATTTTCTTTGCATCTTTAAAATTCCAGTTTCTACTCATTTAAGTATAATAATAAAAGTAAATTTATAAAAAGAATGATTGCTTGCAAATCAGCTGTTTAAGTGACTGGCGAAAGGATTACAGAATTTAACTTTCTAAGTCTTAGAAGTATTTCATTCAGGATTTGGTACTGATGTAAGAAGCTACTTTGTTCTTTTTTGTGAGCATGTTGTCTGAAATGTCACGTGTAACTACTGAATCCATCAATCACCTTATCACTTTTTCTTCTTTTCTGTTGTTTTTGATAGCCAGGTTTCCCTTATCCATCCCCTCATCATCACTCCGGTCTGATCTCCTCTCCGATCAACTTTGAGCACATCTATCACATGACTGTTAATTCTGCTGAAAAATTTCTCTCTCCTGATTCCATAAACCCCGAATATTCCCCGTGTCTGCGCTCTGTCCCTGGTACACCAAGCTTTATGACTCTGAGGGTATGAACAGCTGAGTCAGGTGCTAACTGTTGCTAACCATTTAGAGGGTTCCTGTTTCCTGGCCTAATCAATGACACCGCCAGAATGCTGCCACTTTGTGAATGTTTCCCTTTAACCTTTTCTTTTCTGCCAGACTTCTCTTACTCTTTGTCTTCTTCTTCCTCTCCTTCCCATTATTTCATTTCCTCTTTTGAAGAAAAAAAAAATGGAGAAATAAGGAGGACTCGTTTTTATTTTTGAAATAGTATTAAGGTTTATCTGTGTTTGATAAGAAATTTTCCTATTATGATATTTCCTATTACACATAGCATCGTTTAAAAATCCCTTCAGATTTATTTTGTTAAAGCAGACAGAAAAGGGATGCCTACGTTTCTGGGGTTTTGCAGCTCATTACCCTGTAACCAGTTTAGTTTAGATGAATTTTTATATTTGATAAGATTGAAGTCTGGAGTTGTGCCTATCCTAGTCACAGCAAACCTCCTTTTGAAAACTTTAAAAATTTCCAAAGTATTGTACTACATTTTGTGTTTTTTTAAAGTAAGATAAAGTAGTGTATGTTTATAACAGAAATTCCACTAATATACAGTTTCACAAATCCTTTAGTTTCTGATACACATTTAATTCCAACTAGGATCCAAGAAAACCAAAGAGGAAAAAACAGGCAGCATTCTGAAGGGCTGTGGCATCTGCTGTCCATTCCATCATTTCCTTCCGTTCAGCCCCTGTCTTTATTAGTAGCTGTGCAGAGGGGTAGAGAGTGACTATTAAACTGAGTACCCACGTTTTTATCAAGTGAAAAAATGCTTGTACTAATTCAAGCAAGTTATTTTTACATAATAAAGTGTTTGTATTGTATCACAGTGACTCGTTCCCATAATGCTGCCTGGCTTAGAAAAATAGAGCACCAATTTTGTGTGGAGATAGTTAAAATAATTTTCCAATAGAAAATCATCTATAGGTTGAGAGATTTTTGTTTGTATTACAACATTGCAACTATGTTTTAAATATTGTCATTGACACTGAGTTGCAATATCACTTCAGATTCTTGCTTGACAAATTAACAATAAAATAATTAATAAAATAAGCCTTCGTTTTCCTGGTAACACTCTGCAGGCAGTAGATTCCAGCAGGATGCTATATAAACCAAGTGCTTTTCATATAAAACATAATACAAGTGCTAGGTTAGTTGTCTTTGAATAAATCACTGTACCATCTGCAGAAATTTCCCCTAATCTTAAGCATATTTAAGGCTAGAAAGATCAAAAAACTTACTTTGCTTTCTAATGGAAGTGTATTTGATTTTAATTGCCTGAATAAGCTTTTTTAAACATTTTTTTCTGTGTATAATTCTTTTAACAGTTTACTAAGAACAGCTATTTCATAAGCTTAGCCTTTGCCTTTTATTTAGGGTAGACACTTTATAGAAAAGGACAACACTAGCACAGTGTAAGGTTCATAGAAAAGTCCATACCCAAACATGCAGCTTGACCCTGACACTCCTGTCTCTCCTGTGCTCTCCTTGGCTGCCTCGTGCGCGACGCTTGTGTCTTGCAGGGTTGCTACTGTACATTTGAAATCTCAATTAACAACATTGACTATTTTAGATTTAAGTTATCTGTTTTCCTAGAGGGGAAAAAACTCCACTAAGTAAATACTACACTTGGGGTAAACACCACACTAAGAATTACATGGACTTTGCAAACTTGGAAAATGAACCAGATGGCAGTGTTTGAATTTGGGGCCAGCTGGTTGGCCAGCTTTTAATGCACCTTTTCAAAATGTGTGGGTAGGAGTTTTTCAAGTCACACTGTATTAGTGCTTGTTTGCCTGATTGCTAGCTTTGGCTGCGCCCTGGTGACCGTGCCATGACCTTCTTGGTGTTTTAGGTGCTGTCAGAACACTTAGTATAGCAAAGTCACCAGAGCCAGGCCCCTCCTTTGGGTCTTGTGCTTATGTGGTGGGCAAGAACTGAGGTTTTAGTTCTAGACTTTTATTATAATTACAAATATTTTTTAGCTACATTACTAAAAATACTTTTTTATTATTGCTTCCAAATAACCTCTAAAGCCATAGGTATTTGTGCTCATTTCATTATATTCCTTGTTAAATAATTTGACCTTTTATAACAAAGAAGACAGGCAGTCATCTTTTGCTGTTAGTAGTTAAATCAGGTTATTTGAAGAACTGCTGCCATTTCATTGACTGATGCCGGGAAAATGTTATTCTGCCCAAACAATAAGTAAAATGATCTTTATATCTTTAAAATTCACATAACATACCCACACCTAGTACACTTGTGACATCAGCCAGGATTAATCTCAGCACTATGTTCTCCAAGAAGGAATCATAATTTGAAATTCATAAACTATATTGCCAATATAGTTAATTAATTCCAATACTTGAATAGGAAATTAAGGTTGTAGACGTAATCCATTCATTTATTCAGCAGATACTTTTCAGCACCTGTTTTACATCCTAGAGTTTAGTGTGATCATAATCACAGTCACTGTAAGAAATGACAAGATGATAAAGGACTGAGGCTGAGAACAGAAATGAGCCGCACACTTCCTAAACAAGCTGGGCAAACTGGACTCGCTTGAGCAAGCCAGCGTCCTGAAGTGGGTGAGGCTGTGTGACTGTGCTCATTTTCTGTGCTTCGAACGAAGGCATAGGACCGGGGATGTGACTCAGTGATACCGTTCTTTCCTTGCATGCACAAGGCCCTAGGTTCGATCCCCAGCACCGCAAAAAAATAAATAAATAAAATTTTAAAAAATTTTTGAAAAGGAAGGCATAAGGACATTCAAGGAAATAAGTAAAATGCAGCTTAAGTATATAGGCCTTTTCTCTTGCTGAAACTTAATGCATTCAGATAAGATTATTAACATGAGTTAAATAGCTTAAGTCATGAGCATATGTAGGTCATATCATGAATAGTATAAATATTGGTATGGGCCAAGTATATGGATAAATTTCTCTGCTCTGTCTTCTTTAAGCTACCAGAAGAAAAATGCAGTATTTTCTAAGTCCTAGTTGATGAGAGAGGATTTACTGCTTTTAAGACAATAAAATGAGGCAGACACTATAAATATTTTAAAATAATTAGATGTATAGCCCACAATCCATGAATATTACCATTAAAATCAGGATAAAGCAAACACTTCTAATGATATAAATATTTAGAAAACTACTAATTCATAAATATCCAGTTACTTTTCATTAATCATAGTGGCCATGACTATCATGCAATTTTTTTTATTAAATGTAGAAACTAGAGGAAAACAATCCTATCTCAAAAGAAAATAACACATATATCCCGAATCCATTAAAATAATTGGCTTTACTTAGTAAATTGACCCTTTGGATAAGTCACAGAACTTGAGTTTTGAGCTACTTTTTAATGTAATTGTTTTCATTGCTTTTTCATTATAGAGTTACTTCTTGTTTAATACATGTAACATTTGTGACTGCCCCTCCTAGCACAACTGCTGTTTGAAACCACAGGCCAGGGGGGGAAGTGATGCTGCAGGTGAATGGCCACATGAGGTCCTTCAAGGGGCAAGGGGAGGAACTGCTTCTAGGCAGGCTGGGCCAGGTGCTTTACTTTTACTAGTGTTACCGGTGTGACCCTCAGAAAAGCTCCATGCAGTGGGTGTTATCCCCGGGGCAGCCAAGGAAGCCGAGACATGGCGTTGTATCAGCCAGGGTTGCCGGCAGTAGACTGTGCAGCGTAGATGTGGATATGTGTGCTTCCTTGTCCATTTTGTTTACCGGCTACCTGCTGCTTCCCTGTCTTGGCGATGGAGAGGACAAGCTATTGGAAAATGGGTGCTGTAGGCTGGTAAAATCACCACTATTTTTATTGTCATTATTAGAGAATAAGGAGTTAAGAGTTTTCTGTGTACATAGGTATATATTTATATACAGATACATCTGCTCTACTGTATATAGACATAGATGTACAGTGGTGCCTTGGTTCATGAACGTAATCCCTTCCACAGTTCTGGGAAAGATGGCCATGATCATTTGTGTAGGAAAGGTGGCCACAGTTGTGTTTGTCTGCCAATTGAGAATTTGCAAACAAAAGCATTTATGAACCAAGTTACCACTGTGTATATATATTCCATGCATTCATAAATTCTGAGCAGTCCAGACACTTTGGATCAGAAAATGGTTGTAGGAATTTGGGCCTATATCCACAAGTAGAGAAAGCATAGTGCAAGGTAGAAGAGCCATCAATAATATGGCACATGTAATTTGCCTGCTGTATAATTTATAAAGAAAATGGGAATAGTTTTCCCTCTTCTTAACTTTGTAAGATCTGACATCCCTCCTTTTAGTCTTTAAAAAGTTGGACCAAAGAAGAAGAAGTCTTCTAACTAATGACTACTAGTTACAGAATGTTACCCAGGTGGATGATTTCTGCAACCTTGTGTTTCTGACAGTCAAACATTGTCTTGGCAAGAATGTAATCTTCATTGGCTTTCCCCCAAATGGACTTACCAAGCTGTTATGAGTTATCCTAAGCAAATAAACATCTCATCCATAGTGACAGCTTTATCTTCATTTTCTGCAAATGTCCATGTAATTCTATGCTTCACTATGACATCTAACCATATAAGTTTACTTAGCATTTTCACAACCAAAAAAGCATTTATTGATGAATATTTCAATAAGAAAAAGTAATCCTTATTGGGTGAAATTTATTTCATTTTAGGGGGTTTTCTTTTTAACTTTGTGTGTGGGAGGGGTTGTGGGATCTGCTTTTCTTTATTCATTATCGTTCTGGTCAAGATCGTTTTATTTCTTGATGCTTATAGTGAAATGTAGACATCGCTGCCAAAAAGAGCTTCTTTCTGGCTAAAGAACATTCCTTTCTTTTGTGCTTCAGAACCCTCGTCCTCAGGAAAGCCGGACCGTGTTCAGCGGCTCGGTCAGTATTCCATCCATCACCAAGTCCCGCCCGGAGCCCGGCCGCTCCATGAGTGCCAGCAGCGGCCTCTCAGCACGTAAGTGGCCAAGGCGGTGGGTGATGCCTCTAAACCAGGAATCTGGCCACTGCCTACCCTGCAAGTCCCCAGCTCACTTACACATCCTCAGTATTTTTGCATTCAACGTTCATGGCAATGGTCACCTTCAGCCATGTCTCAGACCCTGCTGAGTAACAAATGTGGTTGTTGAGAGCCCTAATCTAGTGTGCAGGCCATCTAAGAGACAGCCAGACACAGCTGCGAATGGTGATGAGGAGCACTCTGATGGAGTAAGCAGGGTAGCGTAATAGAGGGTAAGAAGGGACAGCTTTCAGGGATGAACAGAAAACCATGCCACTCACTACGGGTTGGCATTGTGTTCAAGATGTCAGTTAACTGAGAGGACAGCAGGGTGGGAGAAGTGGCCAAGTGCAGTATCAACAGGGACTTGGAGACCAAGGCATGAATGTTTCATTTTAATCACAATGCAGCAAGAAGCCTTTGGGGAGCGGTAGGGCAGAAGCCTGTGCAGTGTACATTTGTGACAGCTCCTCTGGCTGCTGAGTGGAGAGCAGTTTGAAGGCATGCAAGGTCGATACCCATATCCAGATTGCAGGTTCTGGTACTGGCCTAGGGAAAGACCCAGGAGGCTTGGAATATAGCAGTGCAGGAAGAAGAAAAGCAGACAGAGAAGGCAGTGGGTTCTCCAGATGTTTTCAGAGGTGTAAACAGTAAGATGCAGTGAATCAGTTGGGAGGAAGGAGGCATAGGTGACACCATTGACTTCATCAGCTGGGGCCAGGGCAGGACATTCCAGGCACACACAAAGGTCCCAAGACTGGAAAAAACAGCACATTTAAGTAACTGAGGAGGAGCTGTGACAGATACAAGAATATTCCCTTTTATCATGAAAACAGGCTAACACCATTCATTCAGTGAATATCTGAGAGCCTTATTAGACACCAGTGCTCTGGTGGAGGGCTTAGAACTGCTTCCAGATGGTTCACACTCTGTTTTTAGCCTCTCCTTTTCCCACTGCGCCGTGAATTGCAGCACCTGCCTTCGCCTTGTACAGAACTCTGAGCCTTATAAGAGACGATATAAAAGGGAAGTGTGCTCCATGGAGTGCTTATATTTGGCTGTGGTCCGGAGCAGGAAAGCTGTGTCTGCCTGGGGAAGCACTGTCTGAGGGTTCTGAGGGCCACCTCCCTCAGTGGGAATGCGTACAAGTTTGAGGCGATTTGTGGTTCCTGGATGTCAGCGCGAAAATGTGGGTTGTGCCACAATCCCGCAGCTTCTGCTGGGGAAAGAAAGGATTCTTTCCTGTAGCTTTGCTGGGTGTGTGCTGCCCCGGCAGTGTGGCATGGCTGAGATGCTAGGGAGCACAGTGCATGAGCACCCCCAGAAATGCAGTCCCCCCCATGTAACCGGCGTCACTTCAGTGAAACTGTTCTGTGCTTCTGAACAGTTGATCTTTGAGCAAAAACTACACTATGCCAAATGTGTGCACTGCCCTGTGACCTTGAATGATCTGCGGGATAGGCAGGAGCAGCAGCCTGGCAGCCTAGTCTCGGGTGACAGACCGTATCACTAATGGCAGGGACACATTCTGGGAAACGTGATTTAGGGTGATTGCCTGGTTGAGCAGGTGTCACAGAATGTCCTTTCACAAACTGAGAGGGCTCAAGATACCATTGTGTCTGTGGTTGGTCCCTCATCAACTGGAATGTCATTTTATGGCACGTGATTGTACTGCTGCTTTGAGGGAGGGGACCACATAAATGTATGGTCTCAAGAGAAGACGGCCAGCTTTGAGGCTTGCCAGGAATACGGCAGTGAGTTTTGAAATTCAGTGTGTGAGAAGAAACTGTCTTGCCCTTGTCTCCCAGGTCATCTGGAAGCAAGGTAGTGCTTACTACATTGAAAAATACAATTAGAAACGACCCCCCACCCACCCAGAAGTCCATACTTGTGGTGTATTTGAACTCCAACTAGACTTGAGGCGCGCACCAAGTACCTCACAGTATTGCACGATGGAACCAGATCCTCCTCTCCCCCTGCCCTGAATCCAGATTGCGTCTGAGTGTATTGTCAAAAGGAGTATGCCATAAATTATGTTATATTCCTGGGAAGACCACAGATAGTACTGACAGGCACATTAATATTTATAGAGTAAAAATACCCACTACCTGCCTGATAAATAGGTACTATACAGTCTTTACAGATACAGCCTATAAGCATCCCCCAGTCAGTTCAGATGAGGTTGTGCTATCTCACGGGTTTGCATCAAATGAAAAAACTCTTGGTGTTTCCAGGTTTCAGGATTTGTGGGACTGCAGATACAGATAAAGCCTATAAAAGAACTCTCCGTTGAGGAACTAAATGAGGATCACAGATTATGGCTGGTGATATGGAAACCGGAAAAGAGCAAGCCTTTGGGGCCATCAGGGCCCTTCTTGCCTCAGTCCTTGTTCAAGGCTTTTTGTAGAAATGCCAGGAAATACTGCCTGAGGACTTTCGGGGCCTCGTGCTATTAGAGTAGCTCCTGCTAGCTTTAAGAGGAGCGTGGCTCCTGTAAAGTGTTTCCAAGATGGCCAGCCCCGAGAGGGGCGGGCGCAGTGGGGCTCTCTGTCCTCTGTCTCCGCTGGGAGGATGGTATCTCCACACCCGGGCTTGGTGAGGTGCCACAGCGTACAGAGACTGGGCTGAGTGTGGCCAGGGTCAGCTGGCCTATACTTTCCAGATTGCCTCAGGCCTTGTTAGTGCTATACCTTGACAACCCAATTTAATTTTTCTGCCATTGTTATTTTTTGGTTCTAAGAGCTACGGTGACCTCTAACTCACTGTGAACTCTGGCTGATCTCAAACTCCTGGTGACTCTCCTGCCTCAGCCTCCCAAGGGCTGAGATTACAAGTGTTGTGTCACCACACCCAGCTATTCTTTTCCTTTTTCTTTCTCTCTTTTTAAGATTTGAATGTAGGGGCTGGGGATTTAGCTCAGCGGCATAAGCACCTGCCTTGCAAGCAGGCAGTCATGAGTTTGATCCCCAGTACCGATTAAAAAAAAAAAAAACTTAAAAAAAAAGATTTGAGTGTAACATTTCTTTTAAACGAAAGATTCTGAAAATTTCTGAAAAGTGAAATTAAATATATATTTAAAGCACTGGGGTGGAATCCAGTTCTCCTTTCTACAAATGATTACTAGGAAGGAGGAGGCAAGTAAAATCATACCCAAAGTGTGGTGCAGGGCCCTGCACTTCCTGTCCTGCATTTCATTCCACATCCCATGATGTTCTGTTGTTCCCACAGAAATCCCGTCAGATAGAATTTATTTTATATATAGGTCAGGAAAACTGAAGTCCAGAAGGGTGAAACACCTCGCTGAGGCAACACAGGGGTAGAAGAGCTACGCAGTGTGTGCTTGCTGCTCAGGAGGGCAGGAAAAATAACTTCCCTAAAAAACTGAGCATGGAGCCAGACATGAAATTACAAGAAAAATCAAATAGAAACGATGATGCCTTCAAACAGGCTGTATTCTCAGAAGAAGATGGACATCCAAACAAGTGAAGAGTCCATTTCCAAAGAGACAGCACCACTCAGAGATCAGCAGAGGGCAGCAAGTGCAAAGGCTGGGTGGGGGCCAGGGACACAGTCCTTCTCCCCGAGGTGCACTCTTAAGTCATCGGGGAGCTTCTAAAAGTCGAGTGGGAGATTCCGCTCTGGTTGCTTCGAGCCAGCACCTTGGTGCCATAATAACGCAGTGTGTCGTCCGCAGCCAGCCTCGGTATCGCTGGTGGCCCCACGGGAAATCAGAGCTTATTCCGGAGGCGGGGGAATTAGCAGGGTGACAGCCATTCGGCAGGCTCCTGGCTCTGGGCCTTCGTGAGCACTTGCCAGATCACCTGTCGGGACGTGTGTGTCGGGTCACCTGTTGACATGCATCAAATTCTCAATGTGTTTAAAAGTGTTTTAAATAAGCAAAAAGCTCACATAATCACACCCTATATCTTAGTTATCCTAAAATTTCAGGGTAGTCTTTGGGGACCAGTGATCCTAATGAAGCTGGGCAAGACTGAAACATTTTGTAGGCAAAACCTAAGGATAGTAAAGAATTGTAAGTGCTTTAAGTGCTAACAGCACTCCTCAAATTTCCAAAGTTTCTTTCTTTTCTTTTATGAATGCCTCTAGTTCCTATTTTGTAGCCCAACTCTAAGAACAAGACTACAATTTTTGAGGAAATCAGCTTCATTTTGAAATTCTAGGCTGTTTGTCCTGTGGTTTAAAAGCGCTGGTTTTGTGTTCCTATGTGTATGTGTGAGTCCAGTGCTGGTCCCGGGGCACTCGGCACAGGCCTGGACCTGGATGGCCTGGCTTCCCATTCCACGTTGCTCTGACGAGGCCAAGAAAGACCTTCACCACACCTCATAGAGCAACCACACTGGGATATAAGGAGACCATGCCAGGGAGCCATGACAACGGGCAGCCCCAGGACTGGGAAGGTTGTGCGGGCCTCATCTTGGGCCTGGGTCCTCAGGCAGTGTAACAGGAGGGGCCGCAGGAGCCACTGGACTTGGAGGTGGACCTGGGGGTCAGGCTGCTGGCAGGGCGCTGGCTACTGCTCATGGTGGGGTTCCGGGCTGTGGGAGGCTGAGCTGTCATCTCGCAGTGGAGCATCCTCTGAGGACTGTCCTCGGCTACAGGGTCATCTGCGCAGAATGGCAGTGCGTTGAAGAGGGAGCTGTCTGGAGGAAGCTACAGCACGAAGCGGCAGCCCATGCCTTCCCCATCAGAGGGCTCCTTGTCGTCCGGGGGCATGGACCAGGGCAGCGATGCCCCTGCCAGGGACTATGACGGAGAGGTGAGTGGCCTGCTTGGCTGGCAGCTCATCAGAAAGAGCAGAGTACTGACTCCGGGTATCCCAGCCCTTCACTTGGCCTTCACTGGCTTCACTCTCAGCCTAGGGCAGCAAAATTATAAGCTGCAGCTTTGCTGGGGCTGTTGAGACTTCGAATGGCTTTTGAATGAAAATGCCTACATCTATAAAGGCCTACAGAAAGGACTGAGCATTTGTTCTGTGCATCTTAAGGCCCAAAGGGTAGTAAAAAAAATCCTGCACTCTGGGAGGCGGAGGCAGGAGGCAACTTACCAACGTAGTGAGACCCTGTCTCAAAAAATATTCTGGCCGGGCATAGTGCACATACCAGTAATTCCAGCATTTAGGAGGCTGAGGCTATAACATTGTCATGAATTTGAGACCAGCCTGGGCTACATAGTTCAGTCAGTCTGAACCATGTCTCATACATACATAAACAAATAAATAAATACTTCCACAGAGCTCATTGTGGAGGCCCTGGATTCAATCTTTAATTCTGCAAAAGGAAAATAGGCTGAGGCAGCCCATAGGTCCTTCAGTCAGGATGGCCTGTGGGGACCTAAACCCCCCTCTCCCTGCGTCTCAATTGTGCTGTACTTCTGGCATTGCAGGACTCCGACTCTCCGAGGCATTCCACAGCATCCAACAGCTCCAACCTGAGCAGCCCCCCAAGCCCAGTTTCACCCCGAAAGACCAAGAGCCTCTCCCTCGAGAGCACGGACCGCGGGAACTGGGACCCCTGAGCCCTGGGCGCTCCCACCGCTCGCCCTTCCACTGCCTCTCCCCCGCTCCATGTCCTCCACCTCAGCCGGCCAGTCGAAACCCAGTGGCGGCGGCAGCAGCAGCAGCAGCGGGTAGGGTGCGTGGTTGCCTCGAAACACTGGCCTGGCAGCACTGCACCTCTGGCCAGCAGCAGCCGCACAGCCGCGTCCTCTGTGGCTGAGGTCGACCACGGGTCATTCCTGCATAGATGCTTTCAATAACATTTACTCCCTGGCCCAAAGGTAGCTTCAGTAGACAGACTACACAAGTGTAATCTTACGAGTGAGACTAGACAGGTTTGTGTTCACAGTAGCACCTCACTGCACCCTGGGATTCCACACCCGAGGCAGCCAGCCTGCAGAGGCCACTGCGCGCATCAGCTCGTCATTGCCGGAAATCCCCGTGAATCCTCACAAATTAAAACATGCATATTTTACTACAGTACAGAGTCTAAATAAATACATAAATGTAGAAGTTAAATACTGAATGTACATAGTCAAAAAAGCATCTTGTAACCAGTGAGATGGATGCATATATGAGAGAGTGTTTAATTTAAGAGATGTGTTGTTTCTTGTCTGTTTCTCAGCTAAGTCACGGATAGGCTAGAAAGGCTTCACGCTGACATTGGGAGAGGGAAAGGAAGAAACTGAGGTCCCTTTGGTGCCCTGGCCTCACACTGGTGGCAAACCCTGGGCATCTGGGGTCCTTAGGGGACATCTGGAGACATTGGCTTCATTGGTCACAACCTGGGCCACCAAAGTTGGAACATTTGAAACTGTTTGAGCAGCAGTTGCAAAGGCACACTCAGCCTTCCCCGGACATTTCTTTTTCTAGTGATAGAATTCAAACCCCACTTCACTGTGTTTTGGTATCTTCTACAGATGAGTGTAGATGCAATGCCCTCACCTTCTGACTGATCCCTTCCATCTGAAGGGAGTGTTGTCGCTTCTGAAAGTTCGTAGAAAGGTTCCTAAAATTGCGTTTTTTCCTGGGCGGTAGCAGAGTGTTTGCACCAGGGCTGGGGATGGCTCCTGAAGGAGGAGCATATCCCCGTAAGGGTGGGTAGGAAATTCTTCAGATGCGCCTGGGGGAAAAGGCTTTTATTACCAAATAATAAGAAACCTCAGAAGCAAGGACTTGAACAGCCTTAACCAAATACTTATTCCTACAGCAGTGGGAAGTGGATGGGGCCCTGGGCACAGTCAGGAAGCGGCCTGGCATAGCTGCTTCGGCTGGCTTTCCCTCCTTCCCCGGCTGCAGTGTCATTGCCTGGTTACTTGTGTTTCCGTTGGATTCCTCCTCTTTTGCTTGCCATCGGGAAATGAGGTGCAGAACCAAAAGAACTTATTGCTGTGGTCATTTCATCATGTAAGCACAGGAGCAGAGAAAGAGAAAAGTATCTCATGGAAGAGAATCTGGTTCTCTTTTCACCCAAGTTTCTGGATTTTGACCTTTTCTTAAATAATTGGCTTAAATGGAGAAGATCCTCCTGCAGCTGCTAACATGGGTTGTGGTGTCTTGTACCACCGGTCTCCAGCACTTCTCATCCTTTGCATAACGCCCTAGGTATCCCCAAGTGGGGGCCACTTCATAGAGAAGGTTCCCAAGATTCCGCGGTGGAGGGGAGGGGTCTTTGGGGGATTACGTGCCCAGCACTTCTGACAGCAAGTTTTAGACCCCTGACACTGAAACATTTTGGATTCACTGCTGGCTTGGGTTTGATTATGTTTTATTCTAACGGTCATAGCTCACAGTGTAGCTCTAATCTCCCAAACTTCTTTGCTTTTGGAAAAGTGTCATATAAAAAATACTTTTATACACCCAAATACCAGAGGGGGTCAGAGCTTGAGTTTGTTTCTTTTCATGTGCCTCTGGCAGCTGCTTAAACATGGCAGAGGAGAGATCTGCCAGCCCGGTGCGGGCACTGCCCTCTGCTTTCACCTTTGCCTCTCCCTTCTCTTCCAGGCGAACGACAGGGCTCCATACTAAGCCCTTAGTCTGTGGTTCTGCAATGAATTGTGAGTTTTTGTTGCCTATAGGTGCTTATTTTTCCAAGTATACTTTCAGAATTAAAATATAAACCTACCTGGACTGTAGGCTTCCCCGAGTGAGTCCAGCAACTCACAGGACATAGGCGCAAGCAGCTGGTGGCCAGCACCGCAGGGCTCTGCTTTGCCACGCAGGTGCAGGTACGGGGTGCAGCACCTGAAGGGAGAAACTGCCGGGAGCAGTTTCTGAAGATGTTTTCCCCAGGCAGTGATCATCCCGCTGGGCTTATCCCACACTTAAATCTGAGGCCAGTTACCTTCAGGAGTTTCTAAAAAGATGGACAGCAGGTTCCGAGAAAGGGCAAACTCAAGGACCCTTCGGAGAGGTCAGTAACAAAGATCACAGGGTATGTTGTTGCTGCCTGAAGTGTTGTTTTGTTTTGTTTGTTTTTTAATGCAGGACATTTTCTTAAAGTGCGTATGGCAACAGGAATTAATTTCTCAGAAAGAAAATGCACTAGAGGCATTTCTAGCAGAGTCTGTGCGTTGATATTTGGTGCTATCTATATCCAACCAATTACAATTCTGGCTAATCTTGTGTGCTTTTGGGTGTATAAAATTATATTTATACATACATATTTCTTTTTGCCAAAACAAAAGCCTTCCTTCTTGTCAAATGATTGCTAAAACAGGTTTCACTTTAGTTTTATATACACGCGGCACCCATGGATACCCTGCAACTGTGTTTTCTCCTGGGGAGTGCAGCTTTCTGGCTGTGTGCTGTAGCTGAAGAGGGCCTATCTGTTCAGTTTTCCGACCAATCCTTGCTCCCAAGTTTCAGGAGAGAATCAGAAATTCCTGTCAGCAGCAATCTGTCATTTCCAGGATGGCTCACCTCACTGCCCTTCCGTGATAGTTAGAATTATGTCTTAGTGGCCACACCTGTTTGGGAGAAGAACCGGTTTGTGTGGAATCTCAGGTATTGTTAAGAAGTCAGCAGGGGGGGCAGATGTCCCAACCCCCAGAGGCATCAGTGACTGGACACTGCTGCCCCCCATACCCAAGGGGCTCTCAGCAGCCTGGAGCCCCCTGTGGTTCTGGGCCCAGCAGGGAGGCAGATGGGTGCACAGAGAAGCTGCAGAATGCCTGTTGTGGCCGTTTGTAAACTTCCTGTCTTGTTAATCCCTTTGTCCATTGCTGAGTCCAGAGCTCTCTGTTGGGGGTGCCAGAAAGGGGGCCTCGCTTCCGCAGTGCTGGGTGCCTCTGCCTTCTCTGGGGTGACTACATGACATTGGCACTGCAGTTACAAGGGGACACTGACCACCACAAATCAACCTTGATGTCTCATGAAAACAAAATGACCTGCCTTTTTATTTGATAGTATATCACTTATTTTATAAATTTTTAGGGTTTTTTTCTCATTGTAATATTATTGTACAGTTTTGCATGGCCTGGATGTAATCATTTTTGTTTAAAATATAATGCTGACCAGCATATGTATGGAAGGGGAAAGATATGCTCTGGCCTCTATCACTTATTTTGTTTGGTTTTATGCCCTCCGTGTCTTAGGGAACTTTATCAAGAGATTCTCTGCTATTAAACAATGATGTGGATTCTTTTGCACAGAAATATTTAAGGTGAGAGAGTCAAGTGGTAAAAAAGACTCCTCACCAGTTATTTTATGTTGGCATCACTTAATATTAACCCGACTTTGATGTACTGCAATAAAACAGGGGAGCTGTTAGAAGTGGGTGTCCGCCTTGTGATTTCCCTAAGGGAGAGGTTTGAGGGGAGCAGGCACCTGCCTCGCAGCCTGACCCTGCCCTGCTGCTGCTGCCCTTCCAGCCTGGCCTTCTTTGCACTCCTGAGGGGGCGAGTTAGAGCCGGACCTCAGAGGACGCACAGGCAAGGTGGAAAGTGGTCCTAAGAGAAGTCTTGAACTGGGCATCGTCCCCTCCCCATCGCCTATGACTGGCAGCTCCTGCTCTGTCAGGGGCCACAGCTGTGTGGTGGTGACCAGGGCATGGCAGACCCTCTGCGCAAGGCTGGTCAGTAAACGGCTCCGCTCTGGGGGCCGTGTCTTTAAAGCCCTTGCGGCTCCTGACCTCTTCTGCCCCAGGGTGCAAGACAGACTACAGAGTGGAGGCTGTGCTCTTCAGAAGCGAAGTGGAGCTGCTGGGCCCGTGGCCAGGAGCTTGCCGGGCCTAGTAGACGGCAGGGTCTCTTTAACACAGGACTCTTGTTCTACATCCTGGTTCCACCACTCACTGCCATCTGACAAACCACTGACCCTGGGCCTCAGTGTTCTCCAGGATGCCCGCTAGGTGCCAGGAGGCATGGGTGTGCCAGGCACAAGACAGTGCCTGCCTGCCTACCTGTGGTGCAGTCTCCTGCACTATTAATCACCTAGCGCACGTTCTCTGGCCAGGCTGCGACACGTGTACCCGTCACTAGATGTTAGGGTTACAACTGCGAAGTCCTGGATGAAATCACCATCTCCGCCGTGCTTGAACGTGAATGGAGGCCACAGTCATGCAGCACCTTGACACTGCAGAAATCACAGCAGGTGCAGAGCAGGACGAGTGTGGCCAGGTTCACAATAGTTTGCTCCTGTGCCCTTTTCAAAGCTGGTGCTCTCCACTCCTTAACCAGGAGGGCAGGCCGCAGGCGGTCTCTAACTGGCGTGCAGCCGTTCTCGCCGTCGCCTCTGCCTAGTCTTCGTACTGCATCTCAGTTGTGATGGCTGAGGAGGGAGCTGGAAGGACCCTGGCAGGACCCTGCAGTGTGGCTGCCCCAGGTCTGAGCAGGAGCCACAGGGCGCCAGAGAGCAGCCCGCAGCCAGTCCCTCAAGGACCACATCCTTGAGGGCCACGCCAGGACCCCGTGCCCACAGAGGGACTCCCTGGGACAGCCAGACCTCCGAATTCTGCCTGGAGTCCAGCACACTGAGACTGGTCAGTTTCAAATCTCAGGAAACAAGTGTTCCTCTAAGACCTTTCACTCACACGTGGCCTGCGGTCACCCCATGCACTTTCCCAGCGCTCATGGGTCTGGGACAGGTCCCAGCCAGCCGGATACCTGTTACCCTGTCATTCCTGTCGAGCTGCTTTTCAGGAGTGCCCCTCAGCTGTGCTGGCTCAGGTGGGTTTTGCTGTGACAGCCGGCACCAAACCTGCTGCCGGTGTGGCTGTGCACGGTGGCTTTGGCAGTGATGTGGGGTCACAATGACGGGCTGAGCCTGCCTCATGCTGGGAGCACCCAGGGGCAGGCAGGCTACACAGGGAAAGGGCCACTGCCTCCAGAAGGGTGGCCACTGCTATACCTCAGAAGACTAGCCATCATAAAAGCACGCAGGAAGGGGTACAGGCCACAGCAGTTTCCACAGCACTTGGTTTAATTGAACTGAAACAAATCTGGTAATGACACCGCTTGTACAAAAGTTCACAGCACTGTGCTGACCTCCAGCTCCCACCCTCCCTCCCGTCCGCCCAGCAGCGGCCCTGCTGGCTCTGCTGTCCAGACAGGTGGCAGAGGCCAGGCAGCCCGGGCGGCACCGGTGACAGTGATGCACTTCTGGAGCTGTGCTCCCAGCCCCACACCCCAGATGGAGCAGGGAAGGTGGACAGAGCTGTGCACTGTGCAAACCCCTGGCCTCATGGTTCAGATCCAGGAAGGGGGTGCTGCGTGTTTCCGGCAGACACATCAGGAAAAGGGGCTGCAGGACACCCCTGCCCCCTTCATTGATTCTGACGGCAGAGTGGCGCCCCCCCCACCATGCCTCCTTGCATCTGTCACTCCACCCACTTGGCATGAAAATCCATAAAGCGCTGCAGGGAGCCTTGTGCTCACTTGGGCACCACCACCACCCTGGGGTCTGCCTGCAGCTACTGCTGCTGGGCCTGTGTCCGCCGGTAGTTGCTGTAGGCCTCCTCAAACATGGCCTTGCAGGGAAAGCAGGCCTTGAGCTTGGAGCAGATGAGGAAGGAGCCGCCCATCTTCCGGTGCAGGGAGTAGGTCTCCTCAGGTGGTGGGATGAGGCGGTGCTTAAGCATGATGGGAATCAGGTTGTGGATCTTCTCCGTGGTGCTCTGCGTGCCAAAATCGAAGGGCTCCTCAGAGGCGAAGGCCTCACCCAGGATGAGGATGGCATCCAAGTGGGCATCCTCCATGGCCTGGCGGAGGGAAAGACAAATGTGGCACAGCGCCCGGGAGCCCCGCGGGGACACCGGTGAGAGTCTGGTAATGAGAACATGGTGAGGAAGGGCATGAACGCCGGCGCAGTGGCAGATGCGGAATGGGAGAAGCCACATTGGAAGCTGCAGGAAACACTTCTCTGGCCAGAAACACCCCACGCCCGGCCTCGTGTAGGACACCGAGAGGAACTGGCCTAGCAGAGCATGGGGCAGGGACAGATCATGGATGGCCAGGGAGCTGCTGCTGTGTCCCCCCCGAGGCTGAGGGAAAGGCCATCTCTGAGATGTCGCCAGCCTGTCTGAAGTTCTGCGCTGACCAGATGGGAACTCAGGACTCGACCTGGGTACTCTCCCTGCCCCCAGTACCAAGAAGACAGCTGCTTGCTGTGTGACTTCTGGGTAAGGGGGCCCAACCCATGTCCCCTCCTGTGCAACTGCTTGGGCCCTGTCTGCTCCCAGATCGGCCCACTGGGGGTCCCCAGCCTGTGGAAACTCTGCAAGCCAGCTGCCCTCAGTTGTCTGGGGTTCCGTCCCTTTGCACATCGAGGCTCCACTTGATTTCAGAGGAAGCAGCAGTTGCAGCCCACCAGCCCTGGCCACCAGCAGCAGCCATGCAGCTCAGGAAGCAATGCTCACCTTGACCTCATAGCCGGTGAGAAACTTCATCTCGATGGACTTCTGGCGCACGGCCTCACGGTCCCGGTCGGCAGCAGCTCTGATGATCTGGACAGAGAACAGGAGGCTTCCGAGGCCACCGGCCCATCCCACTTTGCCCTCACCCTCGCCTTCCACAAAGCCCCTGCCGTGGGGCCGTGCTGCTCACAGGCACCGACCCAACCGGCACCTCCCCAGCATCCAGTCCCAGCCCCTGAACATGTGGGCCAAGGCCAGGCCCCTCTGACCTCACCTGAATGTAGAGGTCAGTGAAGGATCTGTCATATTCTCGCGTGGCTCCAAAGTCCAGCAGAGCCACCTAGGGAAGGAGATGAGGGAAGTTTGGCCCCCAGGACACTGAGGCTGGGAGGACATGGTCTCTTCAGAGTCCTAGAGCCCACCTCGCTGTGGATTTCCCACTCACAGCACAGGCTGGGATGGGGCTCACCTTGTGCTGCTGCGGGTCATAGAAGAAGTTGGACCAGTTGGGATCTGTCTGCATGAAGTGGAACTCAAACAGCTCCCTCAGACAAAGGACCAGGATGTTGTAGCAGATCTGTGATGTGGGGAGGGTAGTCAGACAGTGTCAGGCTGTCTGGTGACTGGAAGTGGGCTAGAGGGGCCCCCAAATCCGGTCTTCCACCCTAACCCCTGCAGGGCACCAGCCAGGGAACCAACAGCCAGCATGGCAAGACAGCAGCTCAGACTCGCCTCGTTCCGAACCTCCTGGCTCAGCCCCTCTGCCTGGTCCAAGGGGAAGCCAGACACCAGCTCCGTGGTGAGCACATGGGGGCTGCAGAGCTCATCCACGATCTCAGGCACGTAGAAGAAGGGGTGGTCCTTCAGCAGCTCCCTGGGGGGTGGGGACAGGAAGATACATCTCACTGCCCCCCACAGCCACCCCCGGGGACACCCACCAGGCCGGGGCCCTGCCTTGCGGAGATGGGATGGGGTCTGGACCTTCACCCTTAGAGCTGGGGGCCTTATCCCCAAGGCCGCCTCAAAGGGCCTCCTGGGGACCCATAGGTGCAGGGCAAAGGAGCGCACCGGAACCTCCTGGCACAGGCAGCCTCACGCTCGTAGTCACACTCAAGGGCCAGCTCCCGCCGCAGCACATCTATCAGGTGCTCCGGGAACAGGCCTGGGAGAGGGCGAGGGCGTCAAGCATGAAAGGCGCAGGGCAGTGAGGCCCCCACAGCCCAGCCCTGCACTGCCACCCGCTCCTGCCCCAGCTGCAGCTCAGTCGCCGACCTTCGGGGAGCATGTTGCTCATGTTCAGCACGGCCATGAGGTTGTTGACGTCACTGTTGATACTCTGTGCCACGCCGGGGTACTGTGGAGGACAGTCAACCGGGAAGACAGGGCAGGACCCCTCAAGGTCACTGAGCCCCACGCACCTGTTTGCACCCCAGCCGCCTCACTATCAGACCTGCACTGCTGAGGCTAGACGGTGCCCCAGCACAGCCGTGCTCTCTGCCTCCTCCAGAGTGGTCACCAACTGGGGTCCCACCCTCCAGCAGTCTGAAAGGCAATCTCTATCCCATCCCTGTCCATCATGAACCAAGCCTGATGGAAACCTACTCTGTGCCCCAGAGCCACTCCATTAGCAAGGACTACCTGAGCGTCCAGGGGCAGGCAGGCACTCAGGGCAGGAAGATGAGACCCCAGCACTGCCCAGCGCACAGAGGCACCCACCTGGATCTTCATGGCCACCTCACGGCCGCCCTTCATGCGGGCCAAGTGCACCTGCCCAATAGAGGCAGCTGCAAAAGGACGCTCCTCAAAGTACTCCAGCTTGTCCCTCCAGTTGGGGCCCAGGTCATTGTTGAGTGTTTTCTGGAGGGAGAAGCCGTGGTAAGGAGCCTGGTCTGCCCCACACAGGGAGGGGGTCAGGCAGCCACCCCACACCCTCACCATCATCTGTTTCAGCGGCATGAAGTCAGCACTCTGCCGCACCCGCTCGAAGATCTTGGCCAGATGAGGATTGATGAAGGCGTCATCTGCAAGGCACAGGCCACGTCAGGCAGAAGAGCACCTCTCAGGCCAGAGCCAAGGGGACAGACATCGCCCAGCAGTGCGGGCCCCTGAGCCTGTGTGCAGAGGCCAAGCCTGCCCAACACCACTCGGAGGCCCAGCCTCCGCCTCCTCCCTGTACCGGGCATCTTTGTGCAGGCACACGGCAGCTATGGGGGGTACTTCTGGGGGGCATCCTGGGCCACACTGCTCTCAAGTAACACCTTTGACACCTGGCCAGCAAGCAAGTCTAGAGGCAAACACACCCCATCCTGGGGCAGCAAGCCCACAGGGAGCCCAGAGTGGCAAGGCTTGGCCCAGGGAAGCTTAGAGATTCTCAGCCACCCAGTCCTGCAGGGAGCCAGGACTCAGCCCAGTGACCCAAGAAGCAAGGTTTTTAAAGTTAACATGGAAAGCTTATAATTACAAAAGAAACCTAGGAGGTGGATAAAAATACTAAAATTCCCTGTAACCTGACCACCTCCAGAGAACTCATTTCCCCTCTGATCCGTGCTCTGGGCGTCTCTCAGCCTGGCATGTACTCTCGGGTAAACGCCAGAGTAAAGCTTCAGTGCTGATCCAAATACTGCAGCCACGTGCTGCAGCTTTGCCACCACGCTCTCGGGAGTCTGCTGGTGCCTCCCAGGCAGCCTTCTCCTAGGAGGCCTTCACCATGTGGCTACTGTGCTCTCCAAAGGCCTGGGCTTGGCACTGCTACAGGGACAGGATGCCAGGAGCACCCTCCTTCACTGGGCCGCCAGCCCGCCCTGGATGAAGCACCCCGCAGAGGCCTAGTCCTATGCTTCTCCCAGCCGGGGTGCTTCTCACCGAGCCGGCCTTCTTGGCCACAGTGCTGGGTGACCTTCCCTCCCTAGGGTCACAGCCCCAGCCCAATGCCAACTGCTGGACTGACCCAGCAGGCATCAGGGCTGCACTAAACGCCTGCCACCTGCTAAGACACACGACAACTTCTGGACACACCAGGAGGCGGCGGGTGCTGGTCGGCAGCTGGCTGCAGACACTCACCCTGGATGCTCAGCATCTGGCCCAGCTTCAGCGCTGCCCCACGCACCTTGCACAGCGTGCGCACGATGCGTTCCGCGTTGGCCTCCGACAGGAAGGGGCTGGAGTCCAGCACGGCCTTCTTCCCTGTGGGCAGGAAGGTTGTCAGGTGGTGCTTGTGGACTCCTGCCTATCCCCAAGGCCAGTAGTGCAGCTCCAAATCCAGTCCTCCCAGACACACACACACACACACACACACACACACACACACACACACGTCTCCTGTGTCGGGCCCTGGGTTGCAGGGTCACTGTGAAGCAGCCAGGTAGCTGCAGGCAGGAGCAGTGCTAGGAGGACTTGGAGGAACCCAGCAACAGTGCTATGAGGACTGCCAGTCTTTTGCTACTCACTGTGCATGACAAAGGTCCTCTGTACCCCTGCACCGTCCTTCAGGAAGGGCACTCAGGGCCAAGGACAACGCACACCCTCTGGGCCTCACTGCCCTGAGGTGGGAAACTCAGTGCAGCCAGCTTGCCCCGAGGCTGCGGGTGACCTTTGTCCAGCACACTGGGAGGTGGCAAGATGCCCACAAGATCTCCAAGAGGCGGCAGGAGGCCAGGGGAGCCCTGCAGCCAACCAGCAGTGTGACCAGACCTGGCCCGCTCTGCCTAAACACTAAGTCCACCCTGTGGGAGATGAGGAGAGGCCCATCGGGCTGTGGGCACCGGGTTCCTGTGCCCTGATCTCCTCTGCATCCCTCTGGCTGCTGACACGTGGGGTCCCTCTTCTCCTGTACCCTGAGTCCAGTTAGATGAGAAGCTTACATCACCATGGGCCCAGAAGGCCAGGGCACCCAGCAAGCTCATTCTTCATGTCAGGGCTGAGATGCTGGGAACACAGTGCTTGCTCAACATGGTGCTGTGCCCGATACCAAGCAAGGAAATAAGAAGTGGCCCCTACTGTGCATCAGGTGCCATGTAGTGGGGGGTAGAAGCCTTTAAGGACCCAGGTACCAAGGAGCCTCAAGGGGCCAGGTGTGTGGGAAAGGGTGAGGCAGGACAGGTGCTAGGTGGGCAAAAAGCTTTAGCCCCACACAAGAGGCTGTGCTGGGCCCACCATAGCACCAGCCCGAGATCTAGGCCCAGATGGCCCAGTCAGCCACAAGTCAGAGCTGAGGGGAACAGTGCTCCGAGTATCCCCTCTGCCTTCCCCAGCCCCAGGGACTCCTGGAGTGGAAAGGCAGAGAAGGAACAGCCTGGCTGAGGCTGGGGAATTAGGTCCCCCTTTTGATACTGAGCAGGCTGGGCTGACTACAGGGCTCCTGAGATGTGAGGGTGGCCTCTGGGTTGTGAGACTGGGTTGTCCCAAGCAGCTGCAGCCCACATCTGGTGATGCCCATGTGCCTTCGAGGCACATCATTGGCCAGGACCCCAGGGCAGAGACTTTCTCCAGGGGCAGGGCTCAGCAGCCTGCCAAGCAGCCTCCAGTGCACGGGGTGCTGGGCCTGCCTGACAGCTGGAGCACAGCCGGGGACTGCTCAGGGCCGCCCCACCCTTGCCTGAGGCCCAATTGCAGGACTAAGGACTGGAACCCTTCATTCCTTGTCTCAGGTCATCACCGTCCCTGCCTGAGGACACCAACTGTAACCTTGGAGCCAGCCTGACCTCTGCTCTGCTTGGACGAGGTGGGGAGGAGAGTGGCCAGCTTGGGGGGGGGTGCAGGGCCAGGCAAGGCCACCATTCACTTCACAGCAGCCTGGCTCTGCTTCCCAGGACGCCACAGCAATGACGCTAAAAATACCCCTGCTAATCCTTACCTTACAGCCCTTCCAGGGACATGTATGGTGTCCCAATGTCCCCAGTAATCGAAGCCTATAAGGGTGGGGAGAGTCTCCTGTCTCCAGAAAGGAGAGCCCTGAGGGTAGAGGGGCTGTCCTGGGACAGGGAAGACCCTCTGGCCCACAAGACAGCTTGGCTTATGGAGTCATGGGGACAGTGGGGGTCAGGGAGTCCCCATGGACAGGCTGGAGGTGTGAGCATCACAATAGGCCTCCCGAGCACAGCACAGGTGGGCTGGGGGCTGAAGGGCCCAACCCTCTAGGGACCCCACCTCTCCCCTAGGGCCCAGCTCACCTGTGGAGTTCTCAGGGCGCAGACTCTTCTTGGCAACCTCAGCCAGGGCCCCAAAGCCCAGACCGACAGCCAGACCTACAAGAAGGGTTTGAGTACTCAGCACTCTCCTAGCCACCTGCCCACCGCCAGGAGGGCCGCTCGCCCTGGCACCCCAGCACAGGGAAAAGCTGAAAAGTGGGAGCTATACATTGGTGGTTCTGGAGAACACCGAGCAAGGGTTTCCAGTGGGGAAGTCACGAGCTCTGACTGCAGTCTCACGGGAATACTGATGGACCTACAGAGCGGCCTGTGCTGGGGATGCACTTGGAAAGCTGGGGCTTTCCAAGTGCATCCCCAGCACAGATGGGAAGGAGGACCAGACATGGTCTGTGGGCCAAGGACGCCCCAACAATGCAGGGCACCCAGGAGAGCACAACCACCCACACCGAGTGTGCATGCAGAGCCTGGGGCATGCAGGACCCCCTGGGAACACACACAAAGACAATAATGATCCAAGCTCGGGCCACCTCGTCCTCCAGGCCGCAGGCTCTCAAGGGAGCTCAGACCTCCCTTTTCTGCTCATGGCCCAGACACTCACACCTCCTCTGTCCAAAACCAATCCCCCAAGACCCAACTGCTCAGGAAAGCCTCCCACCAGGGGGCCGGCAACCCCCCCCTAAGCCACAAAGCCAGTCAGGGAGCCTCCGGCAAGTCTGGTGTCTTTCTCTAGACAAGGAGCAGGAGGGATGTGCCGGCCATGGCCACTGCAGGAAGGCAGACACTCCAGTGTCCCTGGAGGTGCACCCCCCATGCCTGCAGCAACACTGGTCACTGTGTTAGGGGAAAAGAATTTTGCTTCTGGTCTCTTTTTCCAAATTCTCCACAGTGATTATGCACGGTTTTTAAGAAAAACACTGACTTACTGAAAAACTCACGGAGAATTTTAAACATTAGAAGGTAATTCCATTTTAAAGCATCCCTTCACAATACATATCATCTGCCAGTAGGTGGCAGTGCAGCCCCTATGCTGCCTGCCCAAGCACAGCTCTGGCTCCAGGACTGGAGGTGAGTCCCTTAGGAACACGCTTGCATTAGGGTCGGGCACATGTCTTGTAAGGAACGTGTCTGCTGTTATAGCACCAAGCCTGTCCGAAATGGTATCTGTATCACTCAGTCTTCAAACTATGTGTTATGGCACACACCCGGCGCATCTTATTTTCGGGAGCTGAGCGTGGCTGGTCTCATGCTCAGTGCACTGCAACTCTGCCTGCACAAAGAAGCCAAGTACTGGCCCCTCGGAAACAGTGAGCTCAGGGGATGCCCTTAGGTATGACAACATGCCGGGGGTCTGAAGACAGAGGTATCAGAGCCGAGGGGCCCAGCAGGTGCAGCAGCTATGTTTCTGATCCCTCCCCCTGCCAGCACCAGAGATACCGGGCACAGGGTGGGAGCCTGGCCAGGGCCCCGACTACACATTAACTCCCCACTGCCTGCCTACCTCACCCTGCCCACCACGCTATCTGACTGAGAAAAATAAATGATACCAGAAAACATTAACCTGCACACTGATAACCCTTGCCAGTGTCTCTGAGTCCAAAGACAAGGTCACAAAGCCTGGTCACAACAAGAGGGCACCACAGCCACAGCAGTCCCTTCCAGGCAGAGCCGTGACCCCTACACGTCAGCCCCACTTGGACTTCCTCAAATGCTCGGCCCAAACTGCTCTCGGTCACTTGCAGGCTCCCAGGCAGGGCTTGGCAAGGACCTGCTATTAAGCAAATCGCTGAAGGAACCTTCCAGAGAGGAGCCTCAGACTCCTTCCATGGCCCTGCACAGCCCTCAGGACAGGCCCAGGGCCAGGTCAAGGTGGTGCCAGCCATAGGACAGACAGGCTCTGCATGGCAGGGACGGGGGTGCTGTAAACAAGTCTGGCCGGCCAGAAACCATGACCTTGGCCTTGCCGTCTCCTAGTCTCAGGGCAGCAGCACGTCTCAGCCATCCCAGCGCGGGCACAACTCAATTCTCAAACCCCTAAGCCTGCTCAGCCTTCACCCCAAACCGGTGGGACCTGAGCAATTCCAAGACATACACCCTAGTGGGACACCCAGTCCTCATGAGACCCCGCCCAGACACACAAGTGAAAAAGGCACACCATGAAAGGCCTTTCAGCATGCTGGGCCCTTCCCCTGCAGGCCGATGGAAAGCAGAAGGAAGTCCAGGGCCTGGTGTCGCCCACTTGCTTCCCTGTTGGAAAGGCCAGGCGCGTCTACAAAGCAAGGGCTGAGGCGGTGGCGCTTGCTCAGTGCCAGGCACCGCCCCAGGCCACAGCTGTCCCGTCTGCATGGGGCACGGCAAAGTCTGCACCACAGAGCGGCACCTTCTGCCCTCCACGGAAGTGCTCACGCCTCTCCATCACTGTTCCGCTCCCAGCTGAGCCGCCTGGGCCCAGGACACGTGCCCAGAGCCTTGGTAGGGAAGGTGGGGGCAGCAGCGTCATGGGGACCACTGAGAGGGCAGGGGCGAGGACCAGGGCCTTGGGAGTAACCAGGATGACGAGGGCAGAAAATAGAGGGAGCAGAAGCAAGAGCAGAGAGCAAAATGTGAAGAATAGCAGACAAGGTAAAAGGCAACTTCAGGAACAGGAGGCAAGAAGAAACTTAACAAATTAGACACTGCTAAACCACCTACACCAGGAGAACACGTGGCAAGTAAAGAAACGTGGCCCCTGGCAGCTAAAGAAATCACAGCAAGAGTCAGATCTGGAATTACCAAAAACCCCAAACCTTCTAGTGTAATATAGTTTATGGAATAGATGCTATGAATCTGCCTTCAAGAGATGATTTCACAGTTTGGAAAGTTATTAAATGATAAAATTACATGATATGAAAAGTCACTACAGTATATAACACCAGCTTTTTGGAAGCCTTAGGTGTGTGAACTTCACGGGAAACAGATGACTTGGAAACATCTACCAACTAACTGTGCTTTCCAGGGTAAACTGAAGCAAGCCCAGCAAAGCCAAAAACAAAGGCGCAATTCCTGGGGGGGAATAAAGGCCACCAGGAAAGGCTGTCTGGCGGCTCCTGGGGTTACGGTGGAGCACAGGTAGGAACCACCAAGACTTCGGGTGCCATTTTACCTCCTCTTGGTGTCTTCTTTCTGTCTCCCCCCATCCCTTTAACGTGCAGCACAGTTCCCTTCCTGTCAGCTCGCCAAATGCTCCAGTCAGAAGTCGCGTCTCCCAGGCCAGTTCTGTGCTTGACGCTTAGGTTGCAAATATACGAATGAGGGGACTTAGATCTTGCTGCTGAGGAGTTAAAATCAAGGACCTCCATTGCTATCAAATAGTAAGTTAAAAAGAGATCTAGGGATACTGCCATTGTTCCACAGCAGCAGGCATCAAATTGGAAACAAAGATTGTAATATGACAAAAAACCATGCGCTACCATCCAGTAAGAGCCTTCACACCGCCCTGCCCCAGGATGTAGCTCAGCGGCACTGTGCCTGTCAGCCAAGCGCAAGGCCCCGAATTCAATTCCCAGCGTCAGAAACAAAATGTGAAGAAGGCTCTGGACACCGACATGGGTACGTAGGGCTGACACTGCTGCGTCCTGACACTGAGTGTCGTGATACGAGAAACACCTGGTGAAGGAGCCTGCTTATCTCAGCATGAAGATATTCAAATGTCAAATGACCGAAACTCTCTACCTCAAAGCTGAAGAAGATACACCCTCCGTCCCTACAGTGCCAGTTGTGCAACCTGCTGAGGGCACTGCCTGCCACCTTCACTCTGTGAGGAAAGAAAGTCCACGCTGGCCTCTGCGTCCACCTGTTCCTCCAGCCCCACAGCTCAGCCTCTCTTCACCACCACCTGCTCCCTCCAGCTGCCCCAGCGCCAGTCAGGGTGCGGGAGGAAGGAGGAGGAAGGGGATGAGGAAGCCCCAGGGCTTGTTCCCGCAGCTTCCTACGACCTGGCCCGCCGCTCCCAGAACTGGACCTGACTGACCGCAGGGGGAGGGAGCCAACCTCAGGCAGAGGCCTGGGCTGCCTGCCACACGTGACCCTTGACAACAGCAGGCACTGGCTCAGCTTCCTCATCTGCACTAACGGAGAATAACCAGAATAACCACCGGCCTACCGCAGCACAGGGCTCCCTGGCGGGCGCAGCGGAAAGTGGACAGCCCCTCCCAGCCTGCCCCGTGCACACGTCTGCAGCCGGGAGCTTCGGGAGGCTCCAGCCACTGCACACTGCTCCTCAAGGGGGCCAGAGGCAGCCTCAGAGCACTCTGTCAGCAGAGGGTCTGGGGACAGCAGGTCGGAGCACACAGCCCTGCATGGCTCTGGACGGTCCCTGTCCCTGCCGGATCCCACACAGTCCCAGGCCCAAGGGCACAGCCAAGGTGCAAGGACCCGGCCAGGCAGAGCCACGTCCTGACCAGTAACTAAGACAACGAAACTAAATGACTCGATTTATTATCCTTTGTAGAGCACATCCTTTGTGATCTGCACTGTTAAAATGTTTCTCTATAGGGAGCAAAAGAAGTAGGAAGAGTGAAGGTGTGTTACACACTTAGACCAACTCCCCACAATGCACATAATCATCACTTACGGCAATCATGGACTAACAAAAAACTTTTTAAATGTCCAACTAAAAACATGAATAGCCAGAGTGGCGACCCACATCTGTACTCCCAGCACCCCGCAGGCTGAGTCAGGGGGGCTGCCACAAGTTTACGGCCAGCCTGGACTACACAGCAAGACCCTGTCTCAAGAAAACTAAAAACTAAAACTAAAAATCAGTAAAACGGTGGCAATAGTGTTTGTTTTAAATACTCTTGGCCACATGTGAAAACCAAACACCTATGGCCATTCACCCAGTGTCTGTTTTTAATTTCACCTCTGAGATAACAGACACAGAATTCCTGGGTAGGGGCTGGCACCACGAGCCCAGGGGCAGCTCTGCTGCTGGAGTGGGGGAGCGGCACCCTGGAGTGCCAATCCCTGGGAAATCAGGCAACAAGGGCCTTTAGCTGGCCACTTCCCCCTGAGAGGGGCCTGTTTACCAGCGAGCCAGAACAGCTGATGTTACCTCACCTGAGGGGAACACGGGAATTTCAACTATTTTTAGAAGCGATGTCCTGGGAATCAGAGAACCTTAACCTTTTAAAAACATTCCTAGCCTGCTGAAGTGCTTTTCTCATATATCACACATGTCCTTGTTTTCACATATCAAATTTCAAAATCCTTTTTATGCAGAATCTAAATCACCTTACAGCTTCCTACTCCTGCACAATTTATTTCCTATTTCCTTTAGTTACTCTTCTCTGCCCGTGGTGCACACATCCTTGTGTGAAGGCCTCAGTAACCTTTCCTGAGTTCTATCCGGTCCCCACTGTATCCACAAAGGTCTCCTTTCGATACTCATCCAGTGCTCCCTCATTTTATAGGGGAAGAGACATCACCTCTAAACCCAAAAGACTGAAGCTCAAATGGAAAAAAAGAGATCAACGCAGGAGACACAGAGAAAAGATCTAACAGATGTTTAACTGGAAGTCCTGAAAGAAAAGGCTGAAGCAATTTGCAGAAATTACCAGAAGCCCCAAAACTAATGACAGACATCATACCACAAGCAACCCCAAGTAGAATGAATACAAAGGAAATCATCCCTTTAAGGTACCAGCATTACTGGGGCAATAGCAAAAATAATCATTTATATTACAGTGCAGTAAGTCCACAACGGATGCTATAATCTCAATAGCAATCACTAAAATAGTAGAGAAATGCAAAACACAAAAGGCTACCAAAAAGAAAACATTTCACATAATTTTATTTTAAAGTGTGATTAACTTAGTCGGGTGTGGTGGTACAAGCCTGTAATCCCAGCACTCCGGAGGCTGAGGCAGGAGGACTGCCATGGCTGAGGCCAGCCCGGGTTGCACAGGGAGTTCAAGACCAGTCTGCACTACCTAGAGAGACCCTGTCTCAAAACACAAAATAAATAAACAAACAAACAGGGATTACCCTAAAGGAAGGTACGACAAGACAGAAAACAGGGAATAAAACAAGTGGACAAACACCAAGATACTGGATGTAAACCCCCAAAAAACTGCATTAACCACTTCCCAGTTTACCTGAGGGTCACTGGGGCAGCAATTTATTTTTAGGGTTACACTGTTTTCTCTTTTTTAAAGATATGCGTAATACATTTTGAGGTGAAACTTGGTGAAATTTTTTCTGATTTCTCAGTACTTGGTAAAGAGTAGTTTTTAATCTATAAAATTAATCCCAAATGGCGGTACCTCATTATCCACTTAGCTTTTGTACTTGTATTCTTCAGAGGAAACAAATACCACTGGAAATTGTAAATAAGCAACACATACTGTATCATATGCAAATCTGTGACTGCTGATAGCGTCATCTGGGGGATAGGTACATAAAGCTTATGCAGGTAAGAAGGACTTCCACTCTAACTGCTCTTCCAAGACAGAGCCTCTGTGATCACCACTACCCTAGTAGCCCCTCCACCTCTGCTTCCTGGCCACTGTGAGCTGAGCAGCTCCTCCTGCTCTGTCGCACTGCACTGCCACAGGCCAAAGCAACCACCCAAGTGACCATGGATTGAAACCTGTGAATTCATGAGACAAAATGAACCTTTCTCCTTTTGCCTTGATTATCTCAGATGTTCTGAATCAGCTGACTCGCACCATGAAGCTTCCAAAAGACCAGAGGAGGGATAACCACACAAATGATGGTAGTACACACAAAAGAATTAGCAGCAAAGGTGAATACGTGATTGCAGGGCTTTACGCCCCACTCGGCACTGGTGTCACGAGAACCAGATCTTTTATATACTGCCTGGCAAATAACCACCTGGCCAAGGCTGGGATGTGACTCAAGCTGTTCTCTAATTCCCTTGCCTGGGGAGTCTGCTGAGGACAGCTGAGCCTCCACTGATGGGAACCTCCTCTTGGAGGATACTACTGCAAGGGACATGGCGCTTTCAGAGGGACGCTGTGGCCAGTAGATAGGCAAAGGGTAGAATAATACAACTGCTCTAAACCTGCACTCTGAAAGTATCCTTCAACTCGTATTAAAAGAGAGATACACTGGGCACAAGTACATGTGGGCACAGTGGTTACCCAAACCCCCACAGCACATGATAAATAAAGGCCCTACACTACACACAGCATATTAAAACAATGTTAAGCAACAGTAGTTCAGGGCATCTCATTATCACTCCGTGGGTGAGCTAAGGCCCCTGGAGATCCGGCCACTGGGTTCCCCCAAGGCTGGTCTCAGAAGCAAAACCTCTGGTTCAGGAGCTCAGAGGCCCAGCAAGGGACTTGGATTCATAACTGGCTCCTTCCTGTGGAAGCCTCTACCCTCGCTGAGGGGCTGGGGCCGAGGAAAAGGCCTGTCAAGCAGGCCAAGCTGTGCTCACAGGAAACAAGGGCCACACACCAGCCCCAGGCAGGGGCAGAGCTGGAGCCCTTTTAACAAAAGAATTAGCAGCAAACAGCCTGTTTCCCTCAGGAAACAGCCTGGCCCCCAACTGCTAATGCAAGGGCAGTCACTGCCACCTGCTCCCCTACCCTGGGATGTGGGTGGCTCCCCACGTACTTCTGTCTTCACACAGACCCAGGAGGGCCCTAGGTCCCCTCTGCTGGGAGTGGCACAGCAGGGAAGGTGAGGCAGCACCAGGCACGTGGCCTGCTTACCTCCGAAGTTGGCCAGCCGCCCAATCCGCGTAACTGGCACCTTCCTCTCCCGAGCCCGCTCACTGAGCTGGAGGGAGAAAAGAAAGAGACCTGTATGATCAGCAAACGGGGACAAGACCAGCCCATGGTTCATGCTGCCCCTCTCACTCCCTCCTCGCCCCAAAGGCAGCACATGTCACCAAGAAAAGGCCCCACGTTCCTAAAGACCCTGACCACAGCATCTATAAGTCCCAAACAGGAGGCTCATGCCAGCAGCCCTGCAGGTGGAACCCCAGCCCCAGCCAAGAGGCCTCCTACGTACCATCTGCTTGTGGGGCTTGCCCTCGGGGCGGGCCTTGGCTTGCCGGGCCTTCTCAATGTCCTCAGCTGTGAGACCCCCCATGGGGGACTGGTCCTGATGGAAGAACCTTCGCTGGAAGCCAGTGGCAAAGAAAAGGTCTCCGGGGTCTGCGAAGAGCCTCCCGTTGACTCTGCCCAGCAGAGAACTGGTCTGGCCTGGGAGCCCAGCTTCCCTAAGTGGTCCACTGGCAACATAGGCGGGAGCCGGTCCTTCATTGTAGGTGTGACCCACGGATGCAGATGGTGACTGGTCAACGCTGGAAGCCGCAGAGAAGGGGACCTCGGCTTCCAGGTCATCAAAGCTCTCAGTGGCATAAGACACTTCAGGTTTATCTTGACCCTGCAAGAGGGAAAGGCCAGGATGAGAGAAGAGAAACAAGACTGGAGCTCTACCCTAAGGCCACCTCCACCAGGTCCACCTCTCCACTCGGTGGAGGACATCAGACATCTACCCCAAGACTCAAAAGCTAGGACCTGGGTTCTAGCCAGCTTCTGCCAGGCAAAACACAAGCCAGGGAAAGCTCTCAGACATAAAGATCACCGAAGGCTGCAAGGGGCCGGGGGACCCACTGTCTCCCTCACAGGCTGGCGCCTCACTGCTGCATGGGTTCCACCAGCCAATCTGGCTGTGGGGTTAAGAGGTTCTCACTGGACAAGGTCACAGTCAGGATCAGGCCTGGTTACCCCGGGAGCTCGGGTGCAGGAAAAGGGAGCAGCAGCTGCAGCACAATTTCTTAAGAGTCACTCAGGGCTGACCTTCAGGCCCAGCTTCTACTTCTGAACCTGGAGTGACCTTACATGAGGTCCTAACCCTTCTCTGCTACTTCCTCATCTGAAAATAGGGCTCCCCACAGTCCGAGTGATGCGGAGTTCAGCCAACGCCAAGGAAACTGCCAGGCAAAGCTAGAATTAAATAGCATGAGACCTAAGGGCGGGCCAAGGGCCTGGATCCCTGGCTGAAGTACTAAGGAGTGAATGTCCAGGTCTGCACGCTGCCCATATATTATGCAAAAGCTATAGGAGACCGCAGGCCCTTAACTCTCCACACCCTACAATTCTCAGTGTGCGGAGGTAGCTACCTGGTAGCTACTTTCATGTGACCAAAGGCAAACTAAGACTGAGAGCTGAGCAGTCAGCAAATGGCAGAGCCTAGACGTGACCTGCTGGCCATCCTGGGGTCATGTAGCTTTCTCATAACAGGAATCACACTTAGCCCCCCTGGTTCTCTCCCAGACAGCACAGGGAGACCCTGGAGTGAGGTGTTTGGGGCAGGGTCTTGTAACTCCCACAACAGCTACCTGACCCCGTGACTGCTGCCTGCTAACGTAACTGTGCTGCAAAGGGACCCAGCTCAGGAGGCCCCTCCTGAATAAGCACGTGGAAGACCCTCAGTCAGGGAGCCTGAGGCACAAAGCACCTGGCTCCTAAGGCTCCTGCCATCAGGGACAAGGGAGACAGAACACCGAAGTGTCAGGGAATAAAGGGAAGCCAAGGCGGCCCTGCTTGGTGCCTCCTTCATGGCAGAGGATGGGCCTGCCTCCAGCCCCACACCTGCCAGAGATGGCCCTGCCCCTCTTGGACATCAGCCTAGGCCTGCTGGAGGATACTGGGGGGCGGAAGGGAGCCAGACAAGAGGGCTTTCATGGAGAAGCTGCCAGGTCCAGCGTGTTATCTCACTTCTGTGGCGGGACTGAGACAAGCTCACTCACGGAGGGCTCCACAGGCCAAACCCAAAAGGAAGCTGGGCAAGGGGTTCTGAAAGGGCACCAAACAACATCCAGGAGCCACAGCCCTGCTGCAGTGGGACGGAGTCAGAGCAGGGGTGAGGACAAGGGTTCCAGGCAGCCCCGTAGCAGTCATGATCTACTTAGTCTCAGTTTTGCCACCCGAAAAATAGGGATAAGCGTCCAGCCCTGCCCTGCCCCAGGACAACAGTGAGGACATGATGAGTATAGGCCTTCAAAGATTAGTGTATACAGCCTCAGAGACCACCAGATGCTTAGAGAGCAGCAGCGGAGGGAGGAGCTGTGACTTCTTGCCAGGATCAGCCAGCCACGGGACAGAGGAGGCGGGGCAGCCTCTGCAACACAACCCCCACCCCACACACACTCAAGGGCACCAGCGAGTGCCCACCTACATGCGCCACCTTGTGCCTTATAGCTGGACTATCTAGCAAGCTGCTGGCAAGTGCAATGACACCATGGCAGGCAACTCCACGGCAGCCAGTCTTGTTGGAAACCACCCCTTCTGTGGAAGACATGGAGGCTTCCTGGGCCCCCTAGCATGAGGGACAAGAGAGAGGCTGGAGGGGCTGGAGGTTTAGCTCAGCAGCATAAGCGCCTGCCTTGCAAGCAGGCAGTCGTGAATTGGATCCCCAGTACCGATAAAAAGGAAAAAGACAAAAAAAAGAGAGAGGCTGGAGGCAAACTGTCCTTGGCCAGCCTGTGCCAGGGTTACCCTGAGAAGGAACAGAGCCCTGCTGGAGCCAAGTCCCCAGAGACATCAGCAAAGTAAAAAGAGAGCCCGAGGCTTTGGGTGGTAAGAGGCTGGCCAAGGACACGGCTCTGCCAGCCCCTCACAAGGAGCAGACTCCTGAAACGCTGGAACCCCCCACCCTTTGCGCTGGTATAGGACTGGGTCTTTGGGAAGTGAGTTGAATTACTGCCCTTATAAAATAATCCCAGCAAGTATTGTCTCCTTCCTGCCACGTGAGGGAGGACACAGCAAGATGACACCGTCTGCCAATCAGGAAATGGCCCTCATGGACACTTGATCTGCCAGCACCGTGATCTTGGATGTACTGGTCTCCAAGTCTAAGATGTTCTGCAAGTCTCCAAGTCTAAGAACTTCCCTATAACCCTAGACAGCAGGACATGCTAGCCACTGGGCTTCCCCAGCCACCAAGTGTCTGTGTCTTGCTTCACATCCCTTGGTCTCCCCAAGAGCTCTATGTCTGACTCCCTATAACCAGCGCCCTCCACCCCCATCTGGGCCAACGCTGCCACAGTGTCCTTACCTGTACCATCCCTAGGACCATGCTGATCTGCTCCGCCGCTGTGGACTGCAGGGCCCTGGCTGCCATGATAAGCTCCCCACCAAAGCCCAGGTACTGCAGCTGGGTTTCCAGTGCCGCCTGGGTCAGTTTGGCAAGGCCTTTGGCCAACATGATGGCATCCCCCAACATGGCAGCCATGGTTCAGACCTGGAAGAGAGGAGGTCAAGTCAGGGAGAGGGGCTCCACATCATGCACACTCACGAGCTCCACAAACTCTGACAGAAGGCTGCTGGCCAGCTGGCTTGCCTGTTGATCTGCCCTCCAGACCAAGCTGAGAGAAAAAGGGCCTAGGCTCACAGTGGGCTCTGGTGACTCCTGGCTCCTCCAAGCACGAGCAGCGTGGGAGACAGCTGAGTCTGCATCGTGGGGCACTCACTACTTCCCACGCACTGCCTCACTGGGACCACACAGCTGCCCCACAAACACCTTCAGCTCAGAGAAGTCAAGAGACAGTACAGAACCAGGACTGGCATGATAGGTACTGACTCCTGTCTGGTGCTCTTTCCTCAGGAGCAGAAGTCCATGCTGTAGCAGGAACAACCCACTCCCAAGGAGTCCCTGCAGGTTCCAGAGGACTGCTTGACAGCCCAACCAGATCCCTCAATGGCTGGGGTGATGTCCCTCTCCATCCCTCTTACTCTGCCCAAAGAAGCCTCTGACAGATGCCAGAAGACTGAAGGACAACAGGGACCCCCACACTTTGCCTGATTCCCTTCCTCTGCTCACTGAAGCCTCATATAGCTGCCAAGCCAGCATCTCCAAATGGAAGCCCAGGGGCAACAGGTTCAGGAGGTCCCACCCAGCACCGAGAAGAGACAGACACTCCCATGACAATGAGCTGAGAAGTGGGCATGAGAGCACACAGGAGGCCCATCTTGGAACTCTTCCTCTCTCCCTTTTCTCTCTACGGGGACACAGGGTAAAGTGTTTTCCAGTGTAAGTCAGGTCAGAAAGTGGGACAGAACAGTAGAGTCTATGTCCAGCCTGGCATCTTGTTAAATAATCCACAGGGCTGAGTGCTGGACCCAAGATGAGTCCTGTTACATCCAGGAGGCTGAAGAGAGATGCAGAGTAGGGAAGGGACAGCAGGAGACCCCATGATGCAACCAGGGACATCCTAGCCTAGTGCAAGTCTTGGAGATGCAAAAGTCAGAAGCCAAGAAGAGAGGGCTATGGATGGCACTCTGGGCAGGATACCTATGTGGATAAACACATATGGCCAGCAAGAAGAAAGGCCTCCTGGGATTCAATCTTCTCATCACAATCAGCAGAAGCTAGAGGAGGAAGACCATAGAGACAAGGTTCTGTTACCAGAACTCCCAGGACCCCTGAAGGTGGTCCTCTGCAGCCTGTCCTTCACTGGCCCTTCACTGGTGGGCAGCTGTTCCAGGCATTCCTGAGGGGATGGGCTCTGCTCCTGGGTATGGGACAGAGCCATTTTTCTACAAGGGGAAATACCAGGATAATCAGAGAAAGTCACTCCCACACAGGTACTGGGCATGCTGAGATGACCTGCCACAATGTGCTCCTGGAGAACATACTTCAAATGTCAGCAGCTACCACAGTAGGGTGAGGTGCTTCCACACACCTCCCAATCTTTATAAGCCATCAATGACATAGTTATTATTCACCCCAGTTTACAAGTGAGAAAATTAAGACCAGAGAGGTGAACCAACTGGCCAAGGTCATGCAACTCAATAGTGTCCCTGGGGTCAAACTCAGCCTTGGCCTGCTCTGTGCCCACATCATGCTGTCTCCCCAAATGCTCCACCCAGTGACTCACAAGGACAAGGCTCTGCTCAGGCACAAAAAGCCACTGACATTTACACTCTGCTCCATGCCAGGGAGGTTTGGAGGAGACCATACCCTTGAGAGATGGTGCCATGTAACACCCTGGACTCCACTTTGCGCTTCTGAAATTTATGGTCATAAACAGACTGAGTTCCACAACCAAATGCCGAGGACATTTGGGGAAAGTGTGTGTAATCCTAGCTCAAGTGGGCCTGGCATCAGCTCAAGGTGCAGGCCGCAGCCCCCTCCCCCACAATACACACAGATACACTTCGCTAGCCACCCTAAAAGTTGGGGCAGGTAAAAACACCCACTAAGGCCTTCTACATCTTACGGAAGGAGACGATTTTGTTTTGTTTTGTTATTTTTCAGCGTATGGGATAAACCCGAGGCCTCATGCATGCTGGGCAAGCACTCTCCCACATCCTCAGTCCCAGGAGGAGGTTTCTGAAAGACCTGAGATGATGGAGGCAAAAGGAGCCCTGCATGCAGCCCCACGCCTATCCACTGTACCCCAAGACCCAGAGGATCCCCAAAACAAGCCTTCCACAACCACCCTTTAAGTCAATCCAAATGAGCAGAACAGGGGTTGCCCACAGGCCACAACTCCTATAATCCCAAAACCTCATCTCACCCCTACCTGATGTGCAAGCTCCCCCCTCCAAAGGCCTAGGTAATTCAGACTTTGTCGGCAGGCACAAAACACATCTGCCTGAATTTTTCATCCAAACAACCACATGCTAAGTTTTCCTAGACAAAGCTGATAGCTGATTTCTTGGCCAGTTAGGCCACCTGGCCCACTGTCCTGACGGGAGTTCAACTTTAAAAAAGCCATTCCAGGCCCTGCATCGCATCCTAACTCTTGTGGTTGCTGACTTACTGGCACTGAACACAACTTCATAGCACGCTAAAATCATGCCAACTTAACAATGATGCTTTAAATAATAAAAAAACCCTCAAAATTATTCGTAAGAGGAAATTTACTAAATAAAACAAAAAGGTTGAATTCCTATATATGGGATCTATGAATAATAGCTGTTTCTTCCAGTGTGTTCCTAACTGGACTTTCCTAACCTTTTCAGTTCACACACCCTACTTACAAAATACAAGTAAACCATCTTTTAAAAAGTACACATTAAAAGTATGCTTTTTTTCCTTGCCAGGTGGGTCTCATCCCACATGCCTGGTGAATTCCCCAGCTGTGCCAAGTCTCACCCTAGATACTGGTCCGTCAGCCAGCTGAGATGAGCCCTGTTGCATCAGAAGCTGAAGATAAATGCAGAAGAGGGAAGGGACAGAAGAAGACCCCGTGTGGCTGCTACCTGGAGCATCCCAGTGTGTGTGTGCACTGGGAGGGGCTGCAGCCTGGACTCTCAAGCTGGCAGCCCACCGGCTGGAGCTCTGATTACATGCTCCCCCCAGTGTCTAGGGCATTTGGTCTGTGGGGCTCTGTCTGTTTATTACCATAAATTTCAGAAGCAGAGCACGGAAACAAGGTCCTTACATGTTCCTGAGTCTTGTTAGTTAAAACCTGTTTTTCTCAAGTTAGTAGATGTTTCTAAAAAAAACACAATCTGTAATTTGTAAGCAGATTAACACCCAGATTTCAAAACCCCTGCAGCCAGCTCACACCCATCCCCCTTGGCAAATATGTTTACACCGTACAGGGCCATGCCATATCAAACCTCCCTCAGAGTACAGAGTGAGTCTACCGCTCACTCCCCTATCAGCTCCTGGAGCTTTCTACGAGGGAGTCTGTGTCCTCCAAGGATCAGAGAGAAGGACAGAGGGTATAACTACTAAGAAAGACAGCTTCCTCACCTGCTCTTCAAAACATTACAAAAACCCTACGTCTAATTCATCACAATCCCAATATGACCCATAATCAAAGCATGGTGATTTTTGTGACAAATCTCCTCTAGGAATGCCAATGAACCAGGTAGATGGGGGTAACATATCCAACATGACTTAATATAAATAAATTTTTAAATATCCTGAAGCACATTTAGTACCAAAGAATCCTGTCTGGCTATGATGTCATCTGTAAGTATTAGAGGCCCCACTGAGAATATCCCCCAACCCACTTATCTGCTGGTCCCTGGACAGATCTGGAGGCCTCACCCAGGAGCAGCTTAACAATGGAGCTTTCCTGCTGTCCTCCAAGGAGGGGAAAGCCCAGTGCCAGTGCCCACAAACTCAAAGAGCCACTGCGGGGACAGATGGACAGTCACATGTGACGTGCTCATTAGCTAGGCACTGTCTGAAAAGAAAGTCACTCTGTCCTTTCCTGACACTTCCTCTTGCCACTCGGCTCATCCCAGCAGGCTCAGGGTCAACGTGCTTGGCCCGGGGTACTCAAGCCACAGCGGCACGCAGGGACATCTATTATGGGAAGGCACCAGGGAGACATCCAAAGCCAACTGGAGCTGACAGCCAGGGACACAGGCAGCACCTGCCCAAGAAGAAAAGGCTGTCCTCAGGGCCTGGAGCTGGCTCCAGCTCTGCCCCCACCCCTATGTGACTTGGCCTCTTTCTCCCTCCTCTGGAGGGCTCTGGTGGTTACCACACCCCTCCTCTAGTCCTAACAGGCTAAACTGCTATTAAGAAAGTAAATAAAAACTTTCCCCAGAGAAAGAAAGAAAGAACTGGAATAAATGCAGCTTCCCGCTCCCAAGGACGGAGGTTGAGAAAGAAGCACAAGGCGTTGGACCAGGCGCAGGAGTCCCCCGGCTCCATGAGGACCTCCTCCAGCCGCCTTCCATCGCCTGACCTTCCTCAAGAGCTGGCACAGAGGCCACTCCAGCCACGCTGAAAAGGAGGCTCTCTCTGGAAGTTATCTAGGGCATGAAGACCTTCAAATCTAGTCATCAGAACTCAAAAACACCCCCAAGAGAAGGTTGCCTGGCCAGATCTAGGAACGTGGCAGCAAGAAAGCAACCTGTTCTTTTCCAAAATAAACAAAACAGGCCCTTCTAACAGGCAGAAAGCATCTTACAGTCATGCACTCACACAGGGAAGGAACTTTTATTCCAGCAGGGAGGTTTCCCACATAGCTCTCCAGCAGCCCTTTCACAGTCAACACATACCATCTGTAGGCCTCGCCTCCCACCTGGAAGGCATGTTAATAAGAATGTACCAAGCTGAGGCTGGCCCAGCAGCTCAGCAGTAGCGCACTTGCCTGGCATGCATGAGATCCAGAATTTGATCCTCAGTCACACTCACTCATGCACACACACACACACACACACACACACACACACATTTACTAAGCAAATTCAATCCCCCGTAACTTCAGAGCACCGCAGACCAGCTCTCTTCAGAGCAAAGGAGTGGTTCTGCACATCTAAAGACTAGGGCCCCCTTTGGTATGAGAACCCAGCAGCAAGCTGCCCTGACCGATGGATAAGCCAGGGCTGAGTCTCTGAGGAGCCCTCTCTGGGGCAGGCTGCACAGACACCTCAAGCTTAGTATATCTAAATCAGAGCTTGCCACGGCCCTCCCACTGTCCCAGGGCTCCTCACCCACAGGGGTACAGCACCACCCACAGCTCCCAGCCCTCCTCACCCATCTTATCCACATGGATGTTCCCACCTGGGCCATGCAACAACTGTTACCTACAGTTCCACCCCTCTACCATTCCCACACTGCTGGCCAAATTAATTTCTTTAAAAGGTAAAATCCTGGCAAGCCACTCCCCTCAGGATCTGTAGCTTCTCTGAGACTCCAAAAGGACCAAAAGAACCTTCCAGATCTCCTGCCTTATCAACTTTAGACTCACCTGGTTCCCTTCACTGATTATCCCAGCCATGCTAAACCATTCCTGGAACCCAAGGGTTTCCTCCCCAGGCCTGTGCTCAACCATCGCTCTTCTCTCCTGCTAGCGCTGGGCGCCACTGCCAGCTGTGCTGAGAAGTCTTCCGCAACCCACCCTACCATTTCATGTCACCTGCAGGGCTGGCTCACAATGCCTGGCGATTCAGCTCTATACATGGAAAACTAAACCCACAGGAGCAGCGAGGAGGCTGGGGTCTTAGAGTTTTAGTCTGCTTCAAAATCACTTGGAAAGTTTGCTAGTTAAGCCACAGACTGGTGAGCCACATCCCACAGTAGGTGTAGGATGGGACTGAGAATCTGCATTCCTAGCAAGTTCATATGTAAATACTGCTGGTTCTGGGAACTTACTGTGAGAACCACAGTGCTGGAGGCAGCAGAGGCGACTTGCCCCCAGATCAGGTAGGAAGCCTCCACCTGCTGCCTCTACCCCAAATCTGGCCTTGCCCTCAAGAGAAAACTTCAGTTGCTCCCCTTCCCCCCACTTTAATGATCTCTGGGAGATACCATGAAAGGTTAGCAAGTGGCTCCTGTCCCCTCCTAACTAAGCACCTTCTTTGACTTGGGACACTAACATCTCAATTTTGACCTTTTGTGGACAAGAAAAAAGTTCTGTTAAATCTCTGAGACTTTTTTCTTTTTTCTTTTGCTGAGAAAAAGGAAACATCAGTTCACTCTTTCCTCCAAGGAGCCGAAAGAATAAATGTGTTGAGGAAAAGACAAACTTCTGAACCAAAGTCCATGGATTTCTGATGACTTGTCCTTCTGTCCAGGCCTTTAAGATCACAAATCAGAGACCATCACTCAAAACTCCAGGCTTCTTCGTAATGAAGTCCAGCCTCGGGGCTTCTATCAACAGGCTCAGAAATATCCTAACACAGTATCAATCCTCAAAGGCAACAGATACTAGAGAAAGAACCCAGGGGGAGAAAACGAGAAAAATGGTCTCTCCCCATCAGTCAGCCCCAACCAGACCTGGAGAGTCCAGGCTTCTCAATGGAGCCAGGTCTCGGGTAATCAAGGCCCAGGTCTCTCAGGCCCTAAACCAGGAAGTCCACGCTTCCCTTCTCCTCCCCTGTTCATCCTGTCTGATAATGGGAGTGTCACCCACACCCAACTGCATTTCCTGAAAAAGGGATGTGTGATAATTCAGCTACAAAACTGTAAATCACCACACAATCCAAAAGATCTTAGGTAAACAGTGGTGCATCCATAGGATGGAATGCTGAGCCATTTAAATGACACTGGCAAAGGTATTCATTGACAAAGAAGAAAGGGTATCACATGTTGTCTTATTTTTTAGAAAAGCAAGCTGAAAAAGGAAAGCACACTGTTTTTCTTGAATGACGGGGTGATACATTATATTGAAATTCTTTTTTTTTTTTTTTTGTCTTTTTTCATTTTTATCGGTACCAGGGATTGAACTCACGACTGCCTGCTTGAAAGGCAGGCGCTTATGCCGCTAAGCTAAATTCCCAGCCCCTATATTGAAATTCTTCATTTCCTTTGTTTACTACAGAAAAATGTGCTCAATTTTTACAATGTTAAACTGTATAAAAATCTTAAGCAGGGATATGATCGCACATACCTGTAATCCCAGTACTTGAGAGGCTGAGGCAGGGGGACTGCTGCAAATTTAAGGCCACCCTGAGCTATACAGTGAGTTCAAGATGAGCCTCAACTACATAGTAAGATACTGTATCACAAAACCAAAATAATAATAATAGAATAATAATAATCTTATATATAGTATCTTTTGTTAAAATTGTAAAAAATAAGCAAACTCACAAATCATAATTTAAAAGATTATTCCAGATCACTCTAGCTCTTGTTCAGGGTGGAATGGGCAAAGAGTTAGGTGACAGATCAGAAATGCTATAAATAATGCCTCTGCCCGCCGTTGGTTAGCCACCGTCCTTCACCAGCAGACAACTGGCAGAAGGAACGTGGTCATCTAACTTTGGGAATGAGGCTCAACCGCCCTTCTCAGAAGAGTGGTGAGAAAAATCACTTGGCACAGCCCTTCCTTGACATTGGCTCATGTGTTAAAAGATACAAATAATTATCAACTGCTCATACCACCACTCCTCAAAAAAGCTAGGATCCTAGCTTAGAATTATGTACTATAGCAAGTGTGGCTGAGCCAGAAATCAAGTCATATAATACGATTAACGTCCCTTAGGGTAGTGGGTGGCTGCACCAGGACCCTGGGGCCAACTCTGGGCCTCTTGCCTACTACTGTAATTAAAGTTTTGCTGGACCATAGTAACACACACTAACTTTTATACTGCCTACGACTTATTAATTCACATATGTGTTTATGACTATTGATGGGTTTTGTTTTTAGCTACAGTGGCAGAGTTGAGTACTTGCAAGAGACCTACGACCAGAAAGCCCAAAGTATTTATAATCTGGCCCTCTAAAGACAAAGTTTGTCCACTCTAACTCCAAAGCTATCGAGCAAATCATAAACACAGCTGTCTTAGGAAATGAATTAGGGTCACTAGAGTTGTACAAGAGCAGCCCAATAAGGCTTGTATCGGAGCCAGGACCCCACTTTACGCTGTGCTCCTGACTGAGGAGCTCACCAGTAAACACAGAGCTGCCCATCACCCAGGCCACCCCCCCTTCTAGGGTGGGTTGTCCAGGGCAAGGTGGGGCCTATGTGCTGCCCCAAAGGGGTCAGCCCTGGGCAGTGGGAGAGGCGTCAGACGCCAGCTCCCCATACATCTCTCCTCCTTCTTCCTGCCACTGCTGTTTCTGGGGCCTGCCAGCCCCAACTGCTACTGCCAGCAGTCCCTTTCCTGCCCCTAAAGGGAAAAGACTCATTCAGTCCAGAGCCTGAGCTCATACAAACCTGTCCTACGACCTCGCCATTCTTTTATTTCTGTATTTTCATGGAATCCCTAACAAAAGCCCCCCTGCTAGGCAATCGCTGGATATGAACACATGCATGAAATACGGGGGTCTCAGTGGATGACACCTACAGAGTCAGGCACACAGGGATACACTCTGCTGCCTCCACTCTAAGCCCTCTGAGCCCCTCTCAACCACAGGGCAGTGGCCCCGCCTGAGCTCCAGGTTATTCAGTGTGGATTCCACACGGATCTGCAAACAGCCCTTTAATGGGCTTATGGAGTGGCGCCTCGTCAGAAAAAGAGGTTTCTGGGCCTCAAGTGGTCTCCCAGGCTAAGGACTTCATGTTCCCCCAAAGCTGCTTCGGGACTACTGGGATTTTTCTAGGAACTGTTTAAACATTCTACACTCATGTGCTAACACACATGAGCTTGAGAGGTAAGCACTCAGACCCTCTTCCCCAATAAATATAACCAGTCTCCAGATGTCTTTATGAGAAGTACAACCAGCACAACATGAAGGTGCTAACTACTGCGTAGCCGTGCAGAAACCTGCAGGAGCCTGGACTCCAGCACAGGCAGATGAC